TGAAGATGATGATGGATTGGAATGGCCATTGTCGAAGGTGTTTTACTGCCATGGACTGTTTGGAATACTCGACTCAATGCATGCAGCAGCTATTTTGCAATCGTGCGATGAGGGATGTTTATGACCGCAGCAACCAAGAATAGCATGACACAATTACCCCTGTTGACTCTATGTGATTCACCTGTACCTTAGTCAAGTTGTAATGCTGTACCTTTATAACATTTATTTGATAAACATCGACACTTCCATTCGCTATTCTTCGACTTTTTCATTGAATGAAAATTGGATTCAATATAATACTTAGAAGGGGATCGTGCTATAGGCTCATATGTGTAAGATGTGGATCACTTGGTTGGCTTCTGGATCGAAAGGGGAAATGGAAAATTGAGGTTCGGGAAACCGAGGTTGGATCATTTATCCCATCGTATTGAGATGCTTTTGCCTTAATCAACTATATCCAAGAAGAGTGAGCGGGTGTAATACAATGTGGCATGAGTGCATGAACATACCACGCTTACCTTTACAGTAACAGCTTTCAGCTAACGCTATGCCATGCGGCCTTGTATAAGAATCGGTCATGCTCCATGCAGGCTATCATAGGCGGACCTCTCTTTCGTGTTAACCATGATATGCTCAATAAACCAAAGATGATCAAAGGATCTGAAAGTATCTTGTTTGTGAAAAATGTGGGAAGCTTGAAATGTAAATTCCTTTTTCCTATCATCATCCATCCTACAACATACAGCACCATGGCGGTAACAATGATCTGTTTGCACCAGTCAATTGCGGCAGCTCATCTCATTTTATTGACGTTCTTTAAGGTCATCATCCTTTCTAGAACCATAACCACCACTATCATGCTAATAACTACATAATACAATCATGGATACCATCATCCTTTGACCAAGGTCCCATCATCCAAGTCTTTATCAGTGTTACTTCCATGCCTGGAATCTCGCCTGAGCAAAGGATGATCCTAATTGGATAAACAAGTTGTTCGTCCCAGAGTGCTCGTGACCTTGTCACTGTGTCCTTGTTGCCATAGAAAGATAGATCCACCAATACCCTTACCATTTTCCTCCTGTTTGATACCACCAACATCCGTCATTTCCCAGGGATCCTTGGTGAACCTTGTAGTGTCATCAATGTTGCGTGCTCGATGATTGCCTTTGCCGATCCATTGCTACCCGTATCATTCATGTAAACGCGCTTCTTGTGATCATTGCCATGGGATCATCCAACGTAACAAGTTCAAAGTGAGATACGCCTTATATAAATAATCCGTCCCCTTTTGCCTTGGATCTTGTGAAAAAGAATGAATGATACCTTGTTACCATAAAAGCAGGAAGTCGTGTTTGGACATACCTACTGTGTTGCTTCCGTGATGGGTGGATCGTACTTACTCTCTTGGTCAATGAGGAAGCTACATGGGTCACCGATCCTTGTTTGACACGCTCCACGGTTGTTTCGTTTCACCGTTGACGTTGTTGTTGTTGCGATGGAAATGGCATCAGTGAGTGCTGGAGGAGTCGGCGTTGAGCTGGTGCTGTATGAAAGAGGAAACGCCGCAATGGAAACCAACCTGCCAATTCATATACAGTAGCTATGGATACATAAGAGAGAGAGTCAATTCATAAAACTTTTTATCCATATGTATTGAAAAGATGATGCACATGAATGACTGATATACATACTTCGTTGCAATGATGCTATGCTGTAAAGTCAAACCTTGCACAAAGAGGTTCATCGAGTGTCTCCGATTGATATCAGCTAAAACTCCACCACTACTTGCAGCTAGTGATCCGTGCACGCATTAGCACCTTCCCCATATAGCGATGACCCAAGGTACAAGAAGTGTGTCTTTGTGCATGCGTGTCTTTTACGACAACCTCTTCAACTAACACGTCATAAAGAAGACAATGGCCGCTGTGACTTGTCCATTTTCAACCTCAGCATGGCAACGGGTATAAACGAAAACTTTTTTGCGCAGCACTTTAACCCCCAGGTTGCGCACCTCTTTCTCCTTTGGCTTTGCTGATCGAGATGTCTTGCATCGACATAAACTTTGCCGTCGTAGCTTAAATGACGTATAACTAGCCGTCCGCGATAGACGTTAAAAGGGCCCGTCTCGGTAAGACGTAAACTGCCCGTCTTGGCCTACGTAAACATGCCCGTGTTGTTAGGTACGTCCATAACACGTTAAAAGACCCGTTTCGGTAGTACGTCAACTACTGCGTCTGCTTCACGCCCGAAGCCGTGTTGATGGCACGTCAACTATCACGTTTGCACATTTACGTTAAAATGGCCGTCGTAGCTTAAATGACGTACAACTAGCCGTCCGCGATAGACGTTAAAAGGGCCCGTCTTGGTAAGACGTAAACTCCCGTTTGCACATTCGTAAAATGTTTGCCGTCGTCAGACGTTAACGCCTTTTCGCACATTTTCTATAAATGCTGCCGTCGTAGCTCAAATGACGTATAACTAGCCGTCCGCGATAGACGTTAAAAGGGCCCGTCCGGGAAGACGTAAAACTATGGATGTGGATAGCCATCACCTCCTCGTGGTCACATCTGGAAACCATCGTTATGATGGGCTAAGAATGGCTTTAAATAGTCTTTTAACTTGATATCCAATAAACTTTTCTTTTTAAAAGTATTCTTCTCTCCATAATTGATCACATAAAGATGATAACTTGAAATGAACTCTTTAATAAAGGATGGAAGGGTAATTCAAACATGACAAGCTTTGATTGTGCAATCGCATAATGATCATGCATGTGGGGATCTTGATTGAGTGGCAGGATGTGTGTGTGAGCAGGTGCTGTATGTGCTGCAGAAAGAGTTTAATGCGGGTTGCTGTAACCAAGGTGAATCATCACCACCCTTCTTTTTCGTTGTCATGCCACTCCACGCTTGGTGCCAACAGGTACATTCAGGGCCAATGTTGCAGCAAAACTTGTTCCATTGACGTGTTAGCTTGTATAGATGGCAAGATTCGATCGCAAAGGCGTTGGCTCATTTGGCTTTTGACTCAACTCGACTACACTACATCGTGGTGTTCGGTGTCCAAGTAACCAGCAACAAAGGTCACTGTGTATATGAAAAAGGCAAGTACAGTGAGCAAAGAAGATGAAAAAGACGTTTATTGTATATGCATGCTAATAATGAATTGAATAGATCTTCTTTCAGGCAATCCAACTTTGGGCATCAACATCATCATCCCTTGTATTCGTCTCCAGCCTGTACCTTTTGGCCATTTAACATCATCAGTGCACAAGACAGGCCCTTCTCGTGATATGTTGGTGGTTACTCTTTGAGGATTGGAAAGATGAGGGATCCTTCTTTCTTTAGAAAGGATGAATGAGACAAGGATGAGTCTGGGTAACTACGAAAGCGTTTTGGTTGTGTGATTCCTTCCTATTTGCATTCCCCTTGTGAATTTTACTGAACATCATCCTTCCAACATGTACCAGATTTGTTTATGGTGGCTGTTTTTTATTTATAGAGACGAGGAACATGCTCATGATATGATGCGCGGGGATAATGATGAAGGCAAGGATCGTGGTGGGGACCAAGTAGCTAGAGGAAAGCATGGTAGTTATCCCCTTCTTGGTTGCTTGTAGATAATATAGTAGCTTTGATGGAATAAATGCGGTTCCGTTATCGGCTTTGTAATAAATGTATGCATTCATACATAATGCGTATCCTGATAGGTGATAAAACATGGCCTTCTTTTCCTTGCTCCTCTACTAATACGGTTCTCTTAGCCCCCAATGGGTCTATTTTCATGACCAATGTCAATTGTGTACCTCTATATAGTTCAACCGGATTCAATCATTTATTGAGAGGAGATTTGGGGAAGGGAACAATGGACCTAAAGAAGCTTGATCCACCTATTGAAAGCTCCAGGTAAAATGCTTGAATGTATCAAACATTCGCCACGTGGTGATGGTAATACAGCAGTCCCTTTCTTTGAGCAGCTCTTGCTCCACATTCGTTATGCTGATTCTTCTATTAAAGACCATCAGCGATATATGATCCATAAAGTTTATGCAGCAAGTCGTTACTTGGAATTCATGCTATAATGCACAATGAGTAGAATAATAGTAATCATGAAAACAACAGCAAAGTTATGCTCAACCTGTCACAATTGGTTCTACATAAGCAAAAGAGCTTCGAGCTTTTGGTAGCGTGAAGAACGTGTGCTTGAAAAATTAAAGCGAACTCCATGTCACGTGACCAGAATCGAACAAAAAATAAAAAAGAGGATTTTTCCTCGAGAAGAGGAAAGAATGCTCTCGGACCGGGAATTGAACCCGGGTCTCCCGCGTGACAGGCGGGGATACTGACCACTATACTATCCGAGACAGGATCTCTGACCGTTCTTATTTTTTACAGCGCGCGGTACTATATATACCTCAAAATTTCCTAATATAGAACGCAAAAAGTGCCGCAAACGCCCTCGTTATGTATATTAAAATGCAGCGGAGCACATTGTGCATTTGATGGTATGCTTGATGGTGCATTTGGGAGGATATGGGGCGTGTAATTTATGGCAAACTACAAGAGCAATTCAAACGCAGGTTCTTGGGAGCTTCTCAATTTCAGACTCAGTTGTAAGGTATATGCAGCAAAGTGTATTCCTTCAAAAACCAGCAAGTAACAATGGATCAAGGAAATCTTATACATCTTCAACGCGACTATACATGTGCATGTTGCAGATATGGAAGTGTGTAATTTGATAATCCTTTTACATCTGATGATTGATGATCTATGAGTCAATGAATGGTGGAATGCGAATCATAGTTGAAAGAAAGTTTATCACTATTGTTGCCTGGCAACGTGTACATTGATCTCCATTCTTGGAAGATTATGCTATGAACTCTATATTTAGGACGCGATGGCAGAATTGTGTGGGGAAGATGAACCCCGATAACGGTTTATCTCTTTCCCTTTTATTTTCTGTGTGCGAGTGTGAGGAGAGAAAAGACGTATTTCAACATGGACAATGCACGCATTCTCGACAAGCATGCCAATGTACGCCATAGTCGAATACAGCCACAACAGCAACAGCAGCAGCAACAAGAACAACGTCGAGCGCGTCGTCCCCTTCCAAAGATCTTGCCAATGCCTGGATCAACCATGGTGGAACCAGCACCTGTCACTCCCAAAAGAACTCGAGCCAAGCGTAGCTGTGACCTATGCCGAAAGCGCAAAACACGATGTAATGCAGACGAGACGTGGCCATGCAGCACATGCAAAGCGATTGGGATAGAGTGCAATGTGGGACAGCTGAAAAAAGCAGAGGTATCGGCTATGCCTAGCAGCAGCAAGTCGTCGTCGTCGTATGTTGAAGCCTTGGAAGATCGGGTTCATCGACTTGAAGGAATACTGGATCATTATCAGCATCATCAGCATCATCATAGCAGCAGCAGCAATAACAACAGTAGCAACAACTCTGTAACTTCGGCCGATCATCCATCACCCTCATCAACCACCCGTATCCAAGACGACCCTCTTATTCTATCACGCAGCAGCAGTAGTAGCAGGAAGGATGTTACTGCAGCTCTTACAGACGACATGACCGAATTGAGCCTTTCAGATTATGAAAAGACGCTTTATATTGGTGGCAGTGCCGGGTTTCATATGTTGGATCAAGAAGCTGCATCAAGGCAAAAGATCAATGATGATTTGGTTGAGCATGTTATTCTCAAGAGTGAAGATTCGACACCAAACCAAGCTGATTTCACCAACAACAGCTCCTTTCCACTTGAGCGATTTGTTCTTTTTGCCGACATACCTTATATGACACAACAACTAGCAGATGCCATGATCCAAGCGTAAGTAGTTGGGATTATTATTGTATGGATGGCATGACTCATAGAAAGGGTGTGTGTAGCTATTTCCATCACGTTCATCCGTATTCTCCCATGATAAGCAAAATCGCATTTCTCGAGCAGTACTACTTTCAGAACCCGCATTTTCCCGATGAACACCTTGTTTATGCCATGTGTGCTTGTGCATGCCAATTTATGGTTCGCGAAGGTCATCCCATGGCTCGTTATGGTGTCACGTCCGGTACGCTCTTGTCACTCCATCAGATATTTCGTGAGAGAGCAGAAAAGTTACTTGCAGTGGTGTATCGTCGATCCAAAATAAGCACTATACAAACATTGATCTTGCTGGCAACCTTTGTCAATACTTCAAAAGAAGAAGATGATGATACTTTACAATGGTAATGTGTCTATAGGGCGCTGGAAGGGAATGTCCTGATGACTGATGTATGCATTGGTATGCTAGGTTTACTTGTGGAACAGTAAGTCGAAGGAAGAGGGGTGGGATAAAGGAAAAGGAAACATTTGATTCACCTTTTTGCATTTGAATGGTGGCTACTCCTACTGCTAGGCAATTCGCATGGTAAGCGACTGCATGATGATGATGATGGGTTCGGAATAGCATGCATTGATGATGAATGCCAACACCAACAACAGGCACAGGACCTTGGATTACATCGAAGTTCGTCACGATGGAGATTACCTGAACCAGAGATTGAGCTTCGACGACGGGTATGGTTTGCAGCCTACATCCTGGATAGGGAGATTTCAGCTGAGCTTGGCCGCCCGTAAGTAAAAATGGTCATTGTGTGTGTGTGTGTGAGAGTAGATTTCTCACCCAAAATGTTGTCAATGTATAGCGTTACAGTGATTGATGATGACTACGACGTTGAATTACCAACACCTTATGAAATCGACTTTCCTTGTGGTGTTCATGCACGAGATCCAACTGCGACTGAATTCATGCCCAAGATATTACTTGATGCAATAGCAGATGTACGAGAAAAACGACACGTTTACAACTCCTTTGTATCCAACTGCATTCTTGGACGTATCCTTGGCAAGGTACTTGCTATCCTCAATTCACCGGCAGCACTACGCACATCAAGGGCAACAGATCCACAGGCAACTATGGAGATCGAGAAAGAGCTTTCAGCGTGGTCAAAGATCATGTCTTTTGTTGTCAGCGAGAATGGGCGAATTGAAGTGGAAGCAACCGGTAATGAAAATGGTGAATGTGAGTATATCCATTTAGCAGGAAAGAGGTACCCTTTTTGCTAATGTTGGTTTGATACGATATAGTGGCGCTGTGTATTTATTATTATTGCATGCAAATCTTGCTTTATCGACCCCGTCTTGGAAACCGAGATCCTGCCAATATCCATTTTGCCCTTCAAGCATTAAGCACTTGCACAGCTGCAGCTATCAAGATCGTTGAACTTGTAGAAGATGGTGAAGCCGTTGGTTACATTTGCCTACCTTGGAGCATTGTGTCATAGTAAGTGGATAGCAAAAAGATGAGAGTATAAAAAAGGTAACCATCATTGGCATAGCTCCGTATTTCAGGCGGCAATGGTGTTTTTATTCAATGCCAAAGGCGAGAACAAGTACTTTAGAGAATTGGGTGCCAAGTATCTTGCACGGTGTGCTTACATTTACACCAAGGATGAAGTATATCGGGAGAGCCGGCCTGCCAAATTGCTCATGTCGTTGGCTGCCAAGTTTTCAGTAGCGGTGGATGAGACTGGAGGAGGAGGAGATCAGCATGAGCCATTGACAACATCAAGGAAACGCGACTTTTCTCAAACAGCAGAAGGAGAAGAAGGAATATCCAACAATGATGGTGACAATCACATGTCCTCCCCTGAAAAGCATTATCGATCCGATCCAACTTACAACAGCACTAATTTGTATTATAACACTACTACTACGTCTACGCCTACGCCTACTCTATCTATGCCCAACCAACATAATCCAGAACCAGCACTCTATTCTCAGCAACAACAACAACAACAAGGAACGTCATCATCATCATTACTCGATACCAGTGGGAATGTTTTGCCAACGGATACGATTGCTCTCGATCCAACGACAGCAGCAGCAATTCAGGATATGGCACCAGCCATCTTTTTAGGAAGTAATGGCAATGTACAGTTTGACTTGGCAAGTTTATCATCCGAGATAGCTTTATGGAACGTCTCCAGTGGATTTACTTGGAATGATTGGGATCCTTATTTGCAACCACAACAACCCCCCACAGATACATCCAACAACCCATATCAACAACAACCCTCCGAATAAAGCATCCAACAAAAGGCAAATATATATGTTTGTGATGTGTGTATGTATGTGTATGTATGTTTCATTGTGTGAGTGCTTATGGGAATGAGAAAGGAAAATGATATCAAGTGTATGTGCTCCAATCGATCGCCGCCTTGTCGCTCAATGCTAAGGACAATTCTATGTGTGCAGAGGATGGTCTCTTGATGACATTGCGAATCGCCTGATCTAATGGGAAAAGGGTATCGGTCTTGTCATCGATGATAACGATACGTTTGCCAGGGGGTGGAGGACCCGTCATATCGACTTCATTCAGTAGATCACGAAAAGTGAATGTATCAGTGATGGCAAGGTTGCGTACGTAATACTGAGGTGGATCGAGCAGGTTGCTTGAGATTGCTTTTAGTGAGACCGATTGTACTCGTAGTGGAGATAAACGCAATTGTTCTTGTAAAGAGGATGAAAGTGATGAAAGCGAGGGTGTCCTTGCATGTTGATGTTGTTGTGATGGTGGTTGTTGTTGTTGTTCTTGATGTTGCTGTTGCTGCAAAGGAGGTAATTGATGAGAATAAGAGGAAGATGGAGCACTGTGTCGTAGCATGGGAGGTGCCGTAGCGTAAAGTGGAGTAGATGCACTTGAATGAATAGGTGGCGAAGGACGTTTTCTCTTCAATGAAGTGGATGCTTGAATGGATAAATCCGATTGTGGTGGTGGAGGTGGTGGTGGATATTGTTGTTGACTCATGATCTCTCGTACCTTGGCAGCTAATCCTCCAATACCTCCTTCTGGTATCTTTTTACTTGTTGTATCATTGTTGCTATGATTGATGGTATTGACATTGGTATTGGTTGTGGTTGTGGTGATTGTAGTCGAAGTAGCTGTGGTGGATGTCGTAGGAGAACAAGATGCTTTGCTTCGTTCGTGCCTCTTTTTTGCCCTGTACAATGTGCTGCTGTGTGCTTTACAAAGGGAGACCTCGGGAAGATTGCGGAGTCCAATCACTTGCCCTGTGCTGTTCTTGTGCATTGGATGTGCATGCAATGAGAGCCATTCAATCGAAAATGCATAGTCCTCCTTGTCCCGTGGATGCAGCTTTTTCGCCCTCGAGTCGAGACTGCCCTCTGGAAGGTTCCTACCTCGTCTCGGCTGCATCTCTTCACATCGACAATTCATCCCATAGGTCTAAATCAATAAACTATCAATTAGTATCCAAATACGTCCCAAAAGTGACAGTTCTTACATTGGAACATGTGAAACATATGCCACAGACAACGCAGGCATTCTATTTCAGGGTGGAATGAGTATGCGCTATGCCATGATGAGCTTTTGTTACCTTTCGAATGGGCAAAAAGGAGCGACGGTGGTCAAGACGACTGTTTTCTGATCGCAGTGTGGGGTGAGGAGAAGATTCAGAGCGAGCCCGTTGTGGTGATGGAGGGGATGGGTCATAGTGATGGTCAGTAATGACTTGAGCAAATTGCAATAGGCTATTGTTGGTGGCCATAGAGTGAAGAGGAGTGGAGAGAGAGACGCGTGTGTTTTGTGTGTCAAAAAGGAAGAAAGAGAAGAAAAAAGAAAGTAGGCAACAAGGAGAGAGTAGGTAAATGAGAAAGTTTTGTTCTTTGCATACAGCAGCAGAATCCAGGGGCTGTTGCTATCAATAACTTGTTACTCTATGTTCTTGTTATGGATGTTGTTTTTTACTGCATACAACCAACACCCTTTCACTCTCTCACACGTCGTCATGGCTGTCGATTGATCTCCTCCATACAAAGAATCAGCCTTTTCCTGATTTAGTCCACTGCCCGCTACAACTACTATTATTGCTGCTACGTACATCATGCTTGTCTTTTGAAATCTCGCTCTCTCACTCTCACTCTCACGTCATGTTGATAGTAGCGCTGTAGTAGTAGTAAACCCATCATCATCATCATCATGATGCCTTGAATGTTTTGAGACAACCCCCACAACAGTGGCACACTCTCTACCCACCCGACCATGTCATCCACATGCTTACCCCGTGTGACAAAAATCTACTCTACTTTGATCATCACTATACTGTACAACCTTTAGAACCATTGCCTTATTCACCGACATGCATATGGATAATATATAGCTCATCGTGCAAGTGCATGATGCTGCATCGTTTCTTTATTGAGATGATCTACTATGGTGTGTGAACAATTGGTTTGAAACACTTTTTTGTGTAATAATCTCCATGATGACAGATCATGGGCACAACCGAATGACACTATTGTTGCTGCAAATGCTGAAACGTTATGCGGCTTAATTCATGCACAAAGTGTTGCTGTGGAAACAGGGCCACAGGACCCCAACCAGCTCCGATGCTCCTAAATTTGTCAAGGAGGCTGGATCCGATCTCGTCCCTTTTCCCGCCTATACGGGTATGTACAATGGGACACACACATACAATGAGAGAGAGGGTGAAGAGAAAAGAGGAACGATCCATCAGCGAAAACGACATTACAAATAACGATATACGATGGATGGATAAGGATAACGGATGGATGAGGATGGATGACACACCAGCATACAGCAAAACGCTCACACACACACACATTCGCATCATGACGCATTCTCGTATACAGATTAGTCGCAATGGTTCAGAGACTCACTTACAGACGTCGTCTTTCATACAACACTCGTTCTAACCGCGTCAAGGTCGTCAAGACCCCTGGTACGACTTTTATATACGCTATTTTTGATTTCATCATGCTCATGCGACCTATTCAATACTACTACTACTACTAGGTGGTAAGCTCGTCTACCAATACCAAAAGAAGCCTGTCAAGGCTCCCCGTTGCGGTGATTGCGGTGTTGCTCTTCCTGGCGTAAGTGGACATGGGGGAACATAAAGAGAGGATGCAGACATATATATACAGAGATGCATAAATGCATGATACGCAAGATCACGTGACCTAATGCAAGTGAACGTCGTGTCTATTATAGCTCAAGGCTCTCCGCGCACGCAAGTTGGCTAACTTGGCCAAGAACCAAAAGACTGTCAGCCGCGCTTATGGTGGCTCTCGTTGCTCCCACTGTGTTCGCAGCCGTATCGTCCGTGCTTTCCTTGTCGAAGAACAAAAGATTGTCAAGAAGGTTCTTAAGCAACAAAAGAAATAAGCGAGTAATGAATAAAGTTCCATTTGCGATATACGTTGAAGGTTACATGGGATGAGAAAGGGAGGATGCATCAAATGGAGGCTTTAGATTACGTGTGTTGCTATGATACTATCTCATGCGGGGTGTGGGATATAGGATTTGAAGGGGAGATGTTCTTTAATTCAGCACCCAGTGGTGGCCAAAGCATTCCATCTTTATTACAGCAATAATGACAACTACATCCACTACCAGTGTCAGGGTCTTTGCCAATAGCGACCTGGTATCTGCAGGGTTGGATACGTTTATCGAACACCAATCACAAGAAGCTATCAATGCTAGAGGCGTATTCAACGTGGCAGTTTCCGGTGGTTCACTTCCAAAGATCTTGTCCAAGCATCTAGTCAACAATTCCCACATTGCATTCGACAAATGGCACATTTTCTTTGCAGACGAGCGATGCGTACCTTTGAGTCATCCCGATTCCAACTATCTTGAGCTGCGAAAAGAGCTCCTGGATAGATTACCGTTGTCAAGGCAACCTCACGTGCACGCCATGAACCAGCAGCATATCGATGCACCAGTAACTGCCGCTGCCGATTATCAGCAACAATTACGTGATCATTTCAAGGGTGCTGTACCTGAATTTGATGTCATTTTACTCGGCATGGGCCCTGATGGTCATTGTTGCTCATTGTTTCCAGGCCACTCACTTCTCAATGAAAACCATTCATGCGTGGCTTCCATTGAAGACTCTCCAAAGCCGCCATCCAAACGCATCACATTCACCTTACCCATCATCCATCATGCTCGAAAGAATGTCTTTGTGGCAACAGGACAAGGAAAGCAAGAGATGCTATTCAATGTGCTTCATCGCCCTGAAATGAAACTCCCTTGTCAACTCGTGGGTCCAGCGATTTGGTTCGTAGATCAAGCAGCAGCAGCCCTTTTACCATCACCATCATCCTCCTCCAATACGCCAAAGCTGTAAATACCAACAATAAACACTCCATGATTTTGGAATCAGGCAACGATCGGCTACCCATGTTATGTTTTGATTGCAGCATCCTACTACATGGAGCTTATTTCAAGATCCAATGATGATGTGACTACATTCCTTCATGCCTTGTTTGGGATCTCGTTACAGACACAGCCGCATTCTTATTAGGTAAGGTGCAAAGGTAAAGGTACAGCAGAGAGTGAGTCGTAGTATTTACCGCCATCCATTGTGCTATGCTGGTTTGATAGATGAGTGCCTAAATACAGCAATATCAAGGAAGGAAAGGGTCATTGATGAATACGTTTCCTTTCTATTTGAAAACAGGTACGTAGGCAAGGTGTTTGGACATGTGATCCACAAATCAGGGACAAGCAACAAAGGCCAATCACCAACATTACTAATGCATGGTATGTGCAACCTCATGTCATTGATAGGGTTGTTATGCCAGCTGAGTTTGTATCGCGCGCGACCTGCTGCATCATCCAAGATTGAAAGCTATAAAAATGTGGGGATCATCAAAACAACGCTTACTGCATGTATTAGACACGCCACGCTATGGATCCTATCCCTGCTATTGCTCACAATACCAAAGTTTCTCCCGGCAGTGTCATCGATCCTGAGACTGCAAAGGGTGTACTCTTATTTACGCCTTCCACCATTCGCTCTGTGACTCTCAAGAATCGCATTGTTGTCGCTCCCATGTGCATGTAAGCCCACATACACACAAGATCAATATACAAGATATGGATGCTTATGGATTTATCGGTTCATTAGGTATTCTAGCATTGATGGTTTCATGGAACGAGTTTCATCTTGCCCATTATTTGTCGTTTGCTTTGCGAGGTGCTGGTTTGATCATTATGGAGTCTACTGCTATTGAGCCACAAGGTCTTATTTCTCCTCATGATACGGGTCTTTGGAAGGATGAACAAATTGGTCCTATGAAGCGTGTGGTGGATGCCATCAAATCTCAAGGCAGTGTAGCTGGTCTTCAAATTGCTCATGCAGGTCGTAAAGCATCCATGGGATCGCCATTTGCTGGTTATCGTCTTTTATCTGAATCGGAGGATGGTTGGCCCAACGACATTTGGGGTGCTTCTGAAGTGCCGTATGACGAAGAGCATGGCAAACCACATACGTTGAGCAAGGAACAAATCAAGAATCTCGTTCAAAAGTTTGTTGATACCACTGTACGTGCTGATAAGGCTGGTGTCGAAGTGCTTGAAATTCAAGGTGCTCATGGGTAAGTGATATTTTGATCATGTCATAGCATGTGTGGCGTTGTGGCTGATACATTGGGTTATCTAGTTATTTGCTGCATAATTTCTTGTCAGGCGACTCCAACAAGCGGACCGACGAATATGGTGGATCCCTTGAAAATCGTATGCGTTTTCCTCTTGAAGTCGCACGTGCCGTGCGTGCTGCATGGCCTGAGCACAAGCAATTATGGCTTCGTTTTTCGTCAACCGATTTCAAAGATATTGATCACTTTGCTCATGACAGGGATGGTTGGGATGTGTATCAAGCCATTGAGTATGCCAAGGAACTCAAAAAGATCGGCGTTGATGTTATTGATTGCTCTGCGGGTGGCAATTTATCAGGTGTCAAGTATCCCACTGCTCCTGTAAGTATTCACAGTGCATTTGTAATACAAGGGATTCCTTACTCAACATCCTTCAACTGGTAGCATTTTCAAGTACCCTTTGCCGAGGCTGTCAAGCGTGATGCCGATATTCCCACGGCTGCTGTTGGTTTGATCACTGATCCTCTTGAAGCTGAAAAGGTGCTTCAAGAAAACAAGGCTGACTTTATCCTTTTGGCCAGAGAGTTTATACGCAATGACAATTGGACCATGCGTGCTGCTCAAGAGCTTGGTGTTCGTGTAAAGTGGGCTGGTCAATACGAGCATGCTGATGAAGAGAATTGGGTTGGCAAGAAGAAGAATGCTGTTTTGGTCAAAGAATTGCTTGTCCCTGATCCGTCCAAAGCATGAGCCATCAAGAACATCCGTTACTTTGTTGAAATGGTCCTATAGAAGCATTATAATAATAGCACATACACTAGTGTCGGCATGGTTTCAAGTATCAATCATAAATGTATGCATTTGATAAATCGAATCATCTTCCTCTCATTCTTCCCTTCATCCCGATTGAAGCATCCTCAGAGCTTATTTACACGTTCCAATATTGTGGCCCCAGCTTCTTGCTACTACGACCAGGCTTTGGTCTTCGTGCTTTGTGTGGGATCATGCTATCATCCCCCCAGCCTCATTCTTATTAAGCAAGATGTGTAAGTGCAACCAACAATCGTAGTATTCACGTCACACAAGAAGACCCTCATCCATCGTGGTGCTGATGGATGTGATCTAAAGAATAAAGGGTTCCCAACAGCAGCAATAACATTCTAGCGTATGGCTTAATGACAATGAGAAAAATAATACAGGACATAGGCGAGTTGTTATGGGCATGTCACTATAAGACCAGGAACAAGCAATAAACGCCAATTAGGAAAGCTATAGTATTACTAATGCATGGTATGTGTGTAACCTGATAGACAACAGCTTTATGCTAGCTGAGCTTGTAGAGCGCAATTGCGTGCTCTGGAAATACATCTTTATCGTTCATCATTGGAAGCTATAAAAACACGTTATTTTTTCTGTTGACGGCACAATACACATACTACATACCATGTATCCTATTCCTTCTCTCCCTTACAAGGTCAAAATTGCTCCTGGTACGGCCATTCATCCCGAGGCTGCTAAGGATGTGCTCCTCTTTAAACCTTCCACCATTCGCTCTGTGACTCTCAAGAACCGTATTGTTGTCGCTCCCATGTGCATGTAAGCTCAATAGAAATCGATCCCAGATAACATTGAAGATGCTAATGAATTGAATGATACCACTACTACAGGTACTCAAGCATTGATGGTGCTATGAATGATTTTCATCTTGCTCACTACTTGTCGTTTGCTGTGCGAGGTGCTGGTTTGATCATTATGGAGGCTACTGCTGTTGAACCACGAGGTCGTATTTCTCCTAATGATTCTGGTCTTTGGAAGGATGAACAAATTGCTCCCATGAAGCGTGTTGTGGATGCCATCAAATCTCAAGGTGCTGTAGCTGGTCTTCAAATTGCTCATGCAGGTCGTAAGGCATCTATGGGCTCCCCATTTGCTGGATACCGCCTTGTCCCTGAATCGGAAGAAGGATGGGCCAGCGATATTTGGGGTCCTTCTGAATTGCCTTTTGACGAAAAACATGGCAAGCCTCATGAATTAAGCAAGGAGCAACTCAAGGTTCTCGCTCAAAAGTGGGCCGATACCGCTGTACGTGCTGACAAGGCTGGTGTTGAGGTGCTTGAAATCCATAGTGCTCATGGGTAATTGTTTTCATTATGATCCTAGTGTGGGCGTTTTGATTGATTTGTCATTGTACAACATGTAGCTACTTGCTGCATAGTTTCTTATCAGGCAACTCCAACAAGCGCACTGACGAGTATGGTGGATCCCTTGAAAATCGTATGCGCTTTCCTCTTGAAGTAGTACGTGCTGTACGTGCTGTATGGCCTGAACACAAGCCATTATGGCTTCGTTTTTCGTCAACCGATTTCAAAGATATCGATCACTTTGCTCATGACAAGGATGGTTGGGATGTGTATCAAGCCATTGAGTACGCCAAAGAGCTCAAAAAGATTGGCGTTGATGTTATTGATTGCTCTGCTGGTGCCAATTTATCAGGTGTCAAGTATCCTACTGCTCCTGTAAGTATTCACGTTGATTTGTCAGCAACGTAAACACCATGTTTGTAACACACACACACCCCGTAGAATTTCCAAGTACCTTTTGCCGAAGCTGTCAAACGTGATGCTGACATCCCTACCGGTGCTGTTGGTATGATCACCGAACCTCGTGATGCTGAAAGGATCCTTCAAGAAAACAAGGCTGATTACATCCTTCTTGCACGAGCGTTTTTGCGCGATGCCAACTGGACCTTGCGTGCTGCTCAAGAGCTCGGTATTCGTGTGAAATGGGCTGGTCAATACGAGCATGCTGACAAAGAGCATTGGGTTGGCAAGAATGGTGCTTTGGTTGATTCGCTTCTACCCGATCCAGCGAACGTGTGAGTCATCAAGAACATCATCCGTTATTGTTCAAATGGGCATATAGAAGCATTATAATAGCAACACATATACTAGTAATATCAGCATCATGCTAAATATCATAAACGCATGCATTTGATAAAGCATCTTCTCATTCTTACGCAGCTAATTCTTACGTATATCCCTGTACTAACCATAATAGCGCACGTACATATGATACAACAGCATCGGTCATAGTCATGCGAGATACCTTATGGGTAAAAATTGCCAAAGGGATGTATTTCTGCATTATCCAGCACCCTAAGATTGGGCTTAACGTGTCATGTCAACTCCTTGGTTCTAGCGCATGACGAAGATCAAACAGCAGCAGCTCTTGACCTATCATCTATGATATCCAATACCACGCCAACAGAGCTTCAATGAGAATAAATTGCGTATCTATGTATTGGAATCACCATCAAAGACCAGCAAAGTGTGGATTTTAGTCATAGTAGAGGAGTCGATGTGGTAAATTATGTTCCTTATTGCACTATACGCTCCCGGATATTCATTCGGAATGCGAACTCAGCGGCATAAACTACGCTCTACCCGCCAACATATGGATAGGCAATTTGCTTATGTCTCGTACCCTGCTACTAGTATTATGTGTGCTAATGAATGGCTTTGTTTATTTAGATGTTATTCCTACTACTACAATGATAGATCCATGGACGACTTTCATCATGCTCATTACTTTTCGTTTGCTTCGCGTGGTGCTGCTTTGGTCATGATGGAGTTCACAGCTGTTGATCCACTTGGTCGTGTTTCTGGTCTTTGGAAAGATGAACAAATTGCTCCTATGAAGCGTGTGGTGGATGTCAAGGCACTGTAGCTGGTCTTCAACTTAATCATGGCGGTCGTAAAGCACCCTCCTTTTGCTTGATCCACGTCTTGTAACTGAATCCGACTGGTCCTTCCGCTGATGACAACCATGGCAAACCAAATGCATTGAGCAAAGAGTAAATCAAGGATCCCGTCTAAAAGTATGCCGATGCCGCTGTACGTGCTGACAAGGCCGGTGTCCAGTTGTTTGAACTTCACGATGCTCATGGGTGAGTGTTTAAGAATGTCAAACGGGATGTGGCAATGGTTGGCTCATGCAATGGCTATAGCTACTTGTTGCACAGTTTCTTATCCGGCAACTCGAACAAGCGTACCGACGGATAGGGTGGATCTCTTGAAAACCGTATGCGCTTCCCTCTTGAAGTAGTACGTGCCGCGTGGTCTCAACACAAGCTATCATGGCTTCGTTTCTCCTCCACTGATGTCAAGGATATCGATCACTTTTGCTCATGACAAGGATGGCTGGGATGTGTGTCAAGCTAAGGAACTCAAGAAGATTGGTGGTGGCAATTTGCCAGGTGTCAAGTATCCCATCGCTCTTGTAAGTATCCACACTGGTTTGTCATCGGCGTAAACAATCTTTTTTCTAACACGTCTTTCGATTGGTAGCATTTCCAAGTTCCTTTTGCCGAAGCTGTCAAACGTGATGATGATATCCCCCACCCTACTGCTATTGGTATGATCACTGATCCCCGTGAAGCTGAAAGGTTCTTCAAGAAACTTCGTTGGCACGTGAGTTCTTGCGTAACACCAACCGGATCATGCATTGCTGTTCGAGATCTCGGTGTTCCCGTCAACTGGGTCGATCAATCGACAGTCTCGCTGCTCGTGGTTGGATGGACATGAAAAAATAGATATGTAGAGGTGTTATAGTATCATGATGACAATCTCATAAAGCCTTTTTATCACACATCTCTCTCTCCCTTTCGATTGATTTCTTCTACTATGCTACTTGTCGTATACGTATAAAGCAGCAGGGGTTATGAAAATCCTTTTTCCGCATACTCCTTGGTGTCACTGTTGCTACTGCTGTACATGCGCGTTAATTGTTCTCCGATATTCTTTCCGACAATACTCACTCATCAATGACATGATCGACTTGTATTATAAGTTGCAAGCATAGCGGAGCTTCACCATTGAAACAACATGATGATCCGCAAAAACGTGTCACTGCATTATTAAGCAAGGTACATGATTCAACAAACCTAGATCATGGGTGAATTGGTAGCATACAAATTTTCATTCTTTGAGATTGCTGGCATGATTTTGGGAACAAGGGAATTCTAATTACGATAAACCCCCCGATTCAGAGGTACAGCGTGGATTCATTTTCGACAAGACGATGGAGATAGCCATGAAAAAGTGTCTCAATCGCGTTGGAAGGTGTCCCGATGTCGTGATCGGATCGGATGCTTTGTGGAATATATTATATGCGAGACGTAAAGAAGCAGGTACAAGTTATTACTAATTCAAGTGTGCACACCTTATATCGCGATTACCATACCAGCTGAGTTTGTATCGACCGATCTGCCCTGGATGCTTATAAATCAATGAAAGCTATAAAAGTGCGAGGGATTTTCTGTCGACAGCAACAATCTCATCATTACACAACACACTCATAATACTATGTATCCTATTCCCACTCTCGCTCACAATACCAAGGTCGCTCCCGGTACCGCTGTTGATACTGAGGCTGCTAAGGATGTTCTTCTCTTTAAGCCTTCCACCATTCGTTCTGTCACTCTCAAGAACCGCGTTGTTGTTGCTCCCATGTGCATGTAAGCTTCTCTAAACCAATCCCAATTATCATTGAAGATGCTAATGATTTTGAATGATGATCTTAAAGGTACTCGAGCCATGATGGTGCTATGAACGACTTCCACCTTGCTCACTACTTTTCCTTTGCTTTGCGAGGTGCTGGTTTGATCATCATGGAGGCCACTGCTGTTGAACCCCAAGGTCGTATCTCTCCTCACGATTCTGGTCTCTGGAAGGATGAACAAATTGCACCCTTGAAGCGTGTTGTGGATGCCATCAAGTCTCAAGGTGCTGTAGCTGGTCTTCAAATTGCTCATGCAGGTCGTAAAGCATCCATGGGCTCCCCATTTGCCGGATACCGCCTTGTACCTGAATCGGAAGAAGGATGGGCCAACGATATTTGGGGTCCTTCTGAATTGCCTTTTGATGAGAAACATGGCAAGCCTCATGAATTAAGCAAGGAACAACTCAAGGTTCTCGTTCAAAAGTGGGCCGATACCGCTGTACGTGCTGACAAGGCTGGCATTGAAGTGCTTGAAATTCACAGTGCTCATGGGTAAGTGTTTTAATTAAGTTTCATTGTGGCGTTGTGGCTAATTTGTCGTTGCCATGTATAGCTACTTGATGCACAATTTCTTGTCCGGCAACTCCAACAAGCGTACCGATGAGTATGGTGGATCCCTTGAAAACCGTATGCGCTTCCCTCTTGAAATTGTACGTGCTGTACGTGCCGTATGGCCCGAACACAAGCCATTGTGGGTTCGTTTCTCGTCAAGCGACTTTAAGGATGTCGATCACTTTGCCCATGACAAGGATGGCTGGGACGTGTACCAAGCTATTGAGTATGCCAAGGAGCTCAAGAAGATCGGTGTCGATGTTATTGATTGCTCTTCGGGTGGCAATGTGTCACGTGTCAAGTATCCCACTGCTCCTGTAAGTATGCACGAATCAACGTAGTCAGCATGTTTGTAACACATCTTTTGCCTGTAGCATTTCCAAGTTCCTTTTGCCGAAGCTGTTAAGCGCGATGCTGATATTCCCACGGGTGCTGTTGGCTTGATTACTGATCCTCGTGAAGCTGAAAAGGTGCTCCAAGAAAACAAGGCTGATTACATCCTCCTCGCTCGTGAATTCTTGCGTGATGCCAACTGGACCATGCGTGCTGCTCGAGAGCTTGGTGTCCATGTCAAGTGGTCTGGTCAATACGAACGTGCTGATCAAGAGCGTTGGGTTGGCAAGAACGGCAAATTATAGATGCATATTATGAACTTAATAGATCCCCATTATCATATCATAATAAATCACAAACCCATGCATGCATAATTGTCATTTCCAGATTTTGACACACTTTAGGGGTCCTTGTCTTTTTTATTCCCAGATCCTTTTGCTTAATGCAGCTTTCTTTCCTTCCTCTCATTTTCTTTCTGTTGTCATCCACGCATCACTATGAGCGTACCACCTCAAGCGCAGAATTCCAAAGTATCCGCTGGATCAGCTACTAAAGAGCATAATGCATTGTTGTTCAAGCCCAAACGATATCGTTCAATCACGTTGCATAATCGTGTGGTAGTCTCTCCTATGTGTGAGTACACTTTTTATTGGCCAAACGTCAAGGGATGATGATGGTGACAACTAATTTGGGGGAATGTAGGCATGTACAGTTGCAAGGATGGGATGATGAATGATTTTCATTTGGTGCATCTTGGTTCTTTTGCTGTCAAAGGAGCTGGTTTGATCATGATGGAGGCTACTGCAGTGGAACCACAAGGTCGTATTTCACCTGATGACAGTGGTATATGGAGTGATGAGCATATTGGGCCTGTCAAACGTATTGCCGAGTTCATCAAATCGCAAGGAAGTGTCCCTGGTATGCAGATTGCCCATGCTGGTCGTAAGGCGGATATGAGTTCGCCATGGAAAGGGTATAGTATTGTCCCCGAATCAGAAGGTGGATGGCCCAATGATGTACGCGGCCCTTCAGAAGGTGTTCGCTTTGATGAGAAGCATCCAAATCCACGTGGATTATCCAAAGAACAAATCCAAGAGCTCGTACAAAAGTTTGCTGATGCTGCTGTAAGAGCTGATAAGGCAGGAATCGAAGTACTTGAAATCCACTGTGCTCATGGGTATGTGTTGTATTGCTATCATCGTTTGGCTCTTGACACGAACCTAATAACACCCCCAATTAGATACTTGCTACACAACTTTTTATCTGGCAACTCCAACAAACGTACCGATGAATATGGCGGCTCACTAGAGAATCGTATGCGCTTTCCTCTTCAAGTTGTCAAGGCTGTTCGAGATGCATGGCCACAAGACAAGCCTATCTTTGTACGTGTCTCTGCCACCGATTACAACAATCCCGATCCTGTGGGTCACGCTCCTGATGGTTGGGACGTTTGGCAAACGATTGAATACGCAAAGGCTGTCAAGGACATTGGAGTGGACTTGGTTGATTGTTCGAGTGGCGGTAATTTGCCCAACATTCAATATCCGGTTGGACCTCTTTATCAAGTTGTGTTGTCGGATACGGTGAGGAAGAATGTCGATATTGACACTGGGGCCGTCGGGATCATTACCGAGCCCAAGGATGCGGAGGAGATCTTGCAAAAAGGAAAAGGGGATCTCGTATTCATAGCTCGCGAATTCTTGCGTGACAGTGCTTGGGTAAGTTGATATAGAGATGATCCTATCATGATGGCTAACCCCATATAGGTCTTACTTGCAGCTCAAGAACTTGGTGTGGATGCTCAATGGCCCAATCAATACGATAGAGCAAAACGGGCTTTACGAAGCGGTCCACCAAAGAAGGAACCAACTAGAAGCGTGCCCTAGAGTAAATAAAGTAGACTTGTTCTTTTCTGGTATTAAACATAATGAGTGGCAATTTGGGGTTCAAACAAAATAAGCACCATCTTTTGGAAAAGGGGAGGGGGTGAATCAAAACCATGAAGGATGATAGTGACGACGACGAGGAAGGGGAGGATGGATGGAGACTATTTTATGCAATGCAACAATCATCCATACAACTTTTTACTTTATCGTTTCAACAAGGTGGGCCCCCCCTCTCTTTCTCTATCTCCCCTTTGGTCGTTCATTTCTACTCATCCAAAAAGAAACCTCCATGAATTTTATGTCTTTGAAACCGAAAAATCTCCCGACTACTGCATCGTGAAGCTGCTGGTCGGTGTGTATAGTAAACCTGCTGCTGATGAACCGGCATGGCAACCGATGGCATACGTGTTGTCGTCATCTGGTCAATGCTTTTAATAGCATCGATGCTTTTTTCTTCTTCCAGTCAGCATCATCATAGGATCAAGACAAGATAATACCAGGTCTAACATTTACTTTTTGGTGCCTTGCAAGAGTCGAGAAATGGCTGCTGCAATGCATCCGACAAAGGGAGGAGCATGTCACACAGACCACTGATTACAGCTGTTCTCCAAATTAGCATCTTTTCCTTCTCCGTTTCCATATCCCCCCCACACACCCTACATCCATCACCCCCACATGGTTGGCATGTATGTAGCACCACAACCACAAGAGAGAGAAAAGGGTATTGTATAATCTCACCCTGAATGTAGGTGATGGATCGATAATTGGTTCCTCATTCCCCTCGCTAAAGCACGAGTTGATCTAATGAATTGGTGGAATGGTGATTAAGCCCAACGAATCATGGATGATGATGATGATGAGGGGAAAAACGAAAATAAAAAGTTTTGAATCGCATGTTTTTTAATGCATGCTAAAGAAAACAACGTATCAAAAGTTGCCATTGTTCTCAATCTCTTTGTGCTGCATTAGTCTCCTGCTGTTTCTCCTTTGATGTTGAGAAAGAGAGAGCTTTTCATGCTTTTGTCGTTATCCCCGAATGGGGTTTCCTTCGGTGCGTCACCGATTATGCAACGGATGAGATGATGAGGCACACACAATGGTGATGCTTGCTGCACTCTATTTTGCATAGCTGTTCATATTTGCGGTAAGGGTCAACATGTACGCATACGTAGTGCCAATGGACCCTTTCTATTATTATCCTTTTCGCACACAGCAGTTGAAATGGCATTGTGTGTATGTGTGTGACACACGTATCGATGAAACCCAGATTGTAGCTTGTTGCCTCATTATCATGAACCCATAATTACAAAGATAAGAAGGGGATGCGGTAATTGGAACAAGTGCTACCCCACAGCAAAATCAGCAAATAGACGATTGACTTGCAGAGTATAACAAGGGGGTTTAGTGGTGGGCGGTAATAATTGAGAGGAATGGTGGAAGATGAGTGAGATGTGGGGGGTGGGTAACATGTATTCTGGGATGACGGAAGGGTAAAGCAAAATGGGAAGGGGGTCGCTTTTGGGGGATAAAGGAGGTGGGGAATATAGTGCAAGAGGCCTTGATCAGGGCCAGTTGCATAAAGATAAGCCTCTGTAATAAATGGGGGAAAATAACTAGTGGCGGCCCGTTCTGATGGCAAGCAAAAACCACGTGAGGACAGCATTTGGGGGGTCGACGCAGTGCGTTTTTTGATTCCTGACATGCTGAAAACAAATAAAACCGTCTTTTGCTCTTTTTTCGTTTTCTCTCACCTTTTCTTTACTCGCATAAACTTTTCGCATGTCGCCTTCTTCACGACCTGGTCACCATGCGCCTATGCCATCACTCTCATCATCAATATCATCATGTTCGAGTACCTCTTCCTCTGTACTTGGTATGGATGTGAATGGCAACAGCGGCAGCAGAAGAAGATACCATCAACAGCAACAACAACCACCCTCAACAACAGGACGTGGGAGACGACAACAACGACGTGTATCATTTAACGAGCAAGTGGTTGTATTGGGTGACCCAAGACAACAACAAAAATCGTGCACACTTTCCACTGCATTATTGGATGCTGAGCAATATTGTGCCTTGACCACAGCAACTCGTCTTCATCATAGCAGCTATGCAGGAGATACCATTTTGGGAGCTGCAACAGCAACAGCAGCAGCATCAGCAGGAACCAACAGAGTGAGCTCGGATGACAATGATTACAACTGGTGGTCAGATGAATCACCCCTTGCTGTTGACTTGGCTGAAGATGATGCCATGCTTGAAAATGAAGCCTATAAAAGTCGTCCATGGTATCGACGTAAAAGACAATGGTGGCAAGCTTTACGTAAACGTCGTCATTGCCAATCTTCTTGTCGTGGTCCTCGTCGTCAACAACATTTATCCTCCTCTTCTTCTCATCAACCTACTACTACCACTACACAACAATCCATACATCCATCAAGCAAACATGAGCCAACAACAACAACAACATCCGATCATGTCAGTGAAAAAGAAAAGAATCATGCGACGACATCACCAACATCGTCATGCATCCCATCACGCCCCTTTCAACGTATCTCTGCAGCTTGCAAAAAAGCAATTAGGACCATTGTAATGTAATAACAAAGAGCCAAAAAGCATTCTTTCTTTATTCTTCCGCTTTTTACCAACCCCCCCAACAACAATACCGCATCCTCATTCCCATCATCCCCTTGTGTTCCATAGTCTTTTCCTTTGTACATAGTATCCCCTTTTTCATCATGTTGGAATCCGTAAATGAATTAGTACACATAATGTTAGAATAACATCTAAACGCTGGCTATGGATCCAAACCAATAATAAGATACTCAGCTGTATTACTCTTTCATTCTTTTGCCGTGATGGATGTGTGTGTTCTTTAAAGAGATGAAAACGAGGCGATAAACAACGGCTCAAAGTCAACGTATCGGAAGCATGAAATCAATGCATGTGCTTGATCTGGGCGGGAGGAGGTGTTGGTGGTGCGCTGTTTATTATGCGAGAATGCAAATAACAAATAATCACAAAGCTGCTTGATGCCATAAGGGAGAGAGAAAAGAAAAGCATAGAAAGAAATCTATGCACGTACAACATGATATCCAACCGGGCACCATCCGTTTTTCTTTTGTGTGAATGATGAAGGGCATTTGACCCTGTGTTATTGTCATCACACAGCAGCAAAAGAGGAAGAAGACGAGGATTTGGAAATGTTGGTTTAGATCACAAGTGACGACATGTCACAGTAGTGGTTGTTGTGTACCCGTGTCTTTATGTTTTCGATGCCATCAGCAGGCTTGTTTATCAAATCTGGAAAATGTCAACAACAACCTGCAAGGAAAAAAAAGACCATCATGTGATTCACCCGGTTTGTTTACAAGTTATGCAAGGAGGGAAAACGAAGCGGAATCACAAAACGCAGCATGTGCTTATGTATATGCATAGGCTAGCATGGGCGTAAAAGGAGAATGTGTATTTGCAGCGTCGTGCACGTGAATTGAAAATGATGCATGTCAAAGGGAATCTCGACAACAACAAGCATGGTTGACCTTGCATCACGGTGGTTGGACAAAGAAAGTATATTAGTGAGAGAGCTACAACAGCTGATCATGCATGCAACGGTGGTGTGATATTGCCTTGACCCCCACCTATATCATCTCGACAACAGCTTCCATACCTGGTATGCCGACGTTAAGCAAGTACGCCTTTTGCAAAAGGTAATAGCCATAGCAATGGATCATTAAAGAGCTAACATGATAAACGTAGCAATAAGTAGCCTATAAAGAGAACAAGACGAGTTACCATGGCAAAAGAATAACAGCCTTGTTGGGCAAGAGGGTACTACAATTGAGTGGTGGTTGAGGAAGGTATGCTCGCTCGCAGTATAGTGTGGGTTGCATGGATTGAATTGCTCGTGGATGACCTGTTACATTGTACGAGAAAGGCAATCGTCGAGAGAGGTTTCCATGACAACGGCGCGAGCAAAGGAGGGATGGATGATAGGTAGATGAGGGTGGCTGTTGTATCCCCCTAATGGTAGTAGGCAGCAATTAAACGTATGTGCTATGCGTATCAATGACGGTACGTGTAAATGACTTTCACACACACTTCCTTGACAACGTCTTTTTTCGCATAGCAAGTGATTTTTGATAGCAAGGTGGATGCCATGGCTTGATGATGGGTGTATCTGCATGCCCCCGTTTATCGCAGCTCCTGCCCTATACACGCGTATTCAGGCACACTAAGGCTCTTCAAACCTATTATTGGTGGAGGTGCCTGTTAGCTGACTACCCTTTAGAGATATGCGAAGGGCGCTTTATTCATCCAATCGCTGTGAGAATCAAATATTGGGTTCAAACTATATCTAGGTTTTAGAAACATCGATGAATCACCTTGGAATGTGAAGGGCTACTGGACATGTGCTTTACCCAGCCTTTAGCATTACCCCAGGACACGTGGGACTGAAGATGGATTTAGCTACGTGTACCTAATAATGGATTGTGCATGCGCGTACGTTCGTCTCGCTCTTCAGCTTATACTTTAGACATGCTATGTGTGATTGGGAACAACTAATCTGTAGCCGAGCGTTGCCGTAAGAGCGAAGAAGCATGCATATGTATGTAAGGGATGGCATGTCCTAATATCTTTCTATGATGATGTATTCATTTTATATCATCCAACCGTCATGGCATGATAATCCTACTACCCTAGCGATTAAAAAAACTCGACAAGATGTGTACAGCGTTATGCATGTAGGAAGGTATAGCGTTGCCAAGGCAATGGTCTTTTTCAGTTATTCGTATCCAGCACAGGCATGGCTCAGGGGCTTGCTTTGCCATGCTCATCACAGCATAGATGAACTTCGATAGCAAAAGTAGGGTCATCTTCTGCTCCAAAAGTATGCAGGAGGCTGTACAGAAAGCCTTTCTACGCCACAACGACCTGGAATATGGATATAAAACGAGATAGATTGTTCACGTCGTCGAAGGGACAGGATTCAATCTACAGCTGCAAAAATGAAAACTTTTTTAATTTCCCTTGCGATGACCGTATTGTTACTTTTGTTGGAATCAGCAAGCGGTCAAGAATGTGAATCCCGTTATTTCTCACTGGACTACTGCGGTAGCACATACACCAATTGCACCTATAGTATCTTCAAGTACCATGAACCCAAAAGCAACCTCGTTTCAAGTAAAAGACTCATGATGGTTTGTTGTTGTTGTTTATCTTCTAATTTCCGTCATTCAGGTATCGGACGTGGATGTGGTGAGAGCACAAAACAAGTATGCAAGGGCAAGGACTGGTTAGGTTGTATGAATTCGCCCCAATGCGTATGGTGGCAAACGTATAGCAGAGACGGTAAGAAATAGTGACGCGACGACGAAAAACTTCCAGCCTACTTATTACCCTCTGGATGACCTCATAGACCCTACAAAAGAGGACAACGGATGTCGAGAATTTGATTGTTCTTATGGCTTGACTGAGGACTACTGTGGTCAATTCAAGGATTGTGTCTTTGACCAAAAGGATTCCAGTAAGTACACACATGAGCTAGGATGGGATACTGTGATTACTTACTACCATCCTCTGCTCCCTATGTAGAATGTAAAAGCAAGAAGCAACCCAAGAAAAGTCTTTGGGAAAAAATTAAGGACCATGTCAAGACCGCAACTGGGTCAAAGACTTGATGGGAAATGAGGCTATTTCAGGGCGTATCTGCTATCTCATCATGTTCATAATAAACATCTTTCAAAGCCGTATGTCGGAAGCATGAAATCAATGCATGTGCTTGTAGCCTATAAAGAGAACAAGAGATATCATGGAAACGAATAACGGCCTTGTTGGGCAAGAGGGTACAGTTGAGTGGTTGCTGAGGAAGGTATGTGTGCTCGCTCAGAGTAAAGGTGTGAGTTGCCTGGGTTGAATTGCTCGTGGATGACCTGCTACATTGTACGAGAAAGGCAATCGTCGAGAGCGGTTTCCATGACAACGGCGCGAGCAAAGGAGGGATGGATGATAGGTAGATGAGGGTGGCTGTTGTATCCCCCTAATGGTAATAGGCAGCAATTAAACGTATGTACTATGCGTATCAATGAGGGTACGTGTAAATGACTTTCTCACACACATCCTTGACAACGTCTTTTTTTCGCATAGCAAGTGATTTTTGATAGCAAGGTGGATGCCATGGCTTGATGATGGGTGTATCTGCATGTCACCGTTTATCGCAGCTTCCGCCCTATACATGCGTATTCAGGCACACTAAGGCTCTTCAAACCTATTACTAGTGGAGGCGCCTGTCAGCTCATTACCCTTTAGAGATATGTAAAAGATGCTTTATTAATCCAATCTCTGTGAGAATAAAATATATGGTTTAAGCTATATCCAGATTTTAGAAACATCGATGATTCACCTTGGAATGTAGAGGGCTACTGGAGACGTGCTTTAGCAGCCTTTTAGCATTACCCAGGACACGTGGGATTGAAGATGGATTTAGCTACGTGTACCTAATAATGGATTCTATGTGCGTGTACGTTGCTCCTATCTTTAAAAAGTTGGCCACGCTACGTGCGAAATGAATCTACAAGCATTCGTTCCCCTTTTCATCTTATACTTTAGACATGCTATGTGTGATTGAGAACAACTAACCTGTAGCCGAGTATTGCCGTAAGAACGAAGAAGCATGCATGTGTATGCAAGGGATGCATCCTTCTACGATGATGATGTATTCATTTTATATCATCCAACCTTCATCACATGATAATCCTACGACCCTATGTACCGATTAAAAAGCTTGACAAGGTATGGGTATAGATTTGTACATGTAGGAAGGTATAGCGTTGACAAGGCAATGGTCTTTTCTCGTTAATAATCCATCAAGACATGGATCAGAAGGGAGGGTTAGAAAAGTAAGGGACCTGCTTTGCCATGCTTATTACTGCAGCATAAACTTCGATAGCAAAAGCAACGTCTCTTGCTCCAAGATCAATACGTATGTAGGAGGCTATACAGTAAAATCGCCTTTTTTACGCCATACGACTTGGAATTGTATATAAAACGCGGTGGGTTGTTCATGTGGTCGAAGGGACAGGATTCAGCCAACAGCTGCAAAGATGAAAACTTGTTTAATTTCCCTTGCGATGACCGTTTTGGTACTTTTGTTCAAACCAACAAGCGCTGAACAGTGTCAAAGACGCCATCACGTAGTGGGCTACTGTAGTGGAGAACACAAATGTACCTTTAGCAGCTTCATTTACCATGTACCCCAAAACAACAGCGCTATAAGTAAGGACTCATGATGGTTGTTTTTCATCTTCTAATGTACTTTTACCCGTTTTTCTTGGTATCATTCAGCTTACGAACGTGGATGTGGTGAGAGCACAGGCAAAAGATGCAAGGACATTAAGGACAGGGCAGGTTGTTTCAATTCCCCCCAATGCTTATGGTGGCAAACGTACAACAAAGATGATAGTAAGAAATAGTGAAGCGACAGCGATGAACTTTCAGTCCACTTATTACTCCTGGGTGACGCCCCCCATAGACATCTTGAGAGACTACGAATGTCGAGAATTTGATTGTTCTTATGGCTGGACTGAGGACTACTGTGGTCAATTTAAGGATTGTGTCTTTGATAAAAAGGATTCCAGTAAGTGTACACACATGGGCTGGGAAGGGGTACTGTGATTACTTACTACCATCCTCTGCTCCCTATGTAGAATGTAAAAGCAAGAAGCAACCCAAGAAAAGTCTCTGGGAAATCATCAACGACCATGCCGAGACCGCCACTGGGAAAAGACTTGATGGGAAATAAGACTATTTCAAGGGGTATCGGCTATCACATCAATAAACATCTTTCAATGTCGCTTATGTATTCGATCATTGATGCTACCTTTTCCGGTTTTCAGGTCGTCATGATGCAATGCTTTATTTGAGTGGATGAATAATATGGCTCTCTACTATTGAATGTCATTTTGTTTCCAGCCCTTTTGTCCCTCTGCACCGGTGAGTAGTAGTTGGATTGATAAAGCATGGTTGTGTGGTGGATGGTATCAGTGTCTTGGAGATGCGTGGTGGCGGTATCGCTGTAATCATTTAAATTCGCTGACCCTTTTCATGCATCATTCCCTCCTCCTCCTCCTTCCTTCCTCTGCTTGCTCGTTTCCCTTACAATTGCTTCTTCAATCACTTGCATTCCTGCCTCGCATTGCTGTATAGCGTAATGATCTCTAGTGCAACTGCAACATTCAATGCCGTAATGACTGGAAGCAGTACACGATCAAGCTGGGTGCTTTTTTGGGATACAACTAGGTGCTCACTACAAACACCTCCTTCAACCAACCACAACACAGTTGCATAGAGGGATACGGCATATATCAACCAACGAGCTATACACATTCAGCATGATCCGACAACCATTACAGTGCGCGTCGTCCTCTCAAAGAGACGAGTGGAAAACGGCAAGTGGCGCTATTAGAGTTGCTACGGCTTATGATATATCTCATGCATAGATAATCACTACCAGCAAGTAAACTTGGATGAGCAATCTGGAGTGCCATATATGAAGCAAATCAAGGAACAATGGTACATTTTCCCAATCACTCTAGTCTCCACCACGATTACGGATAGTGTTTCTTCGCTTCAATGATGCATAAAGACCTCTCTTTTTTCTACCACTCTTTGATGACTGACACCTTTAAAGCCCAAGTTGATGTGATTCTTTTTTGTGAGATAGCGATCCACCATGAATGCGCTACTAGAATTTGCGATGATCTTGAACGTTTCATTATCATTGATGTCATTGTGACATTTATTAAGGGAGGGATTGGTTGTTGAAGCAGGTACCTTCGTAGCTACTACCTCTTGAGATTCATCATCCGAAAAGAAAAACAATCATGCTAATGCCATGCCACCATTGATCTCCGCTCCTACTACAACAATGTATGCACTCTTATCATGTCGTCGTTTGAGAAGTCTATGTATCTTTATTATCATTATCATTATTTACTTTATGTACTGGGTGGGATATAAAAGAAGGGAATGGGTGTGGTGGTATACAGAATCATCAAGATTCATCTTCCTCAAGAATAGTAACAAGTTGTGTTGGTGCTGATGACCTTCGACGTGGTGGTGGTGCACATGGTCCATTTGTCGGGAAATGAGATGAGCGGGAAATGGTGTTGTCGGATGGCATGGATGACTCCTTATTGGAGGTGCCATATGGTGCTACAACAGCTGCCGCACTGCTTCTCCTTTGGATTCTAATCCCATGGCCATCAAGTATACTTTGAGATTTCATGGCTGATAGTGGCTTGCAAACATCTTGTTCGGATTCTTCATCAATCGATTGCAGCACCTTATAAATCCTCTTGCTATCGTTGTCGTTAAAAGAGCGCCTTGATGAACGTTGGCTGAAAAAAGAGGAAGATGGGGATGATGGTGATATACAGCGTGGATGAATTTCAGTAGTAAAGTGAACGAGTTGTGCTGGTGGATTGGCAAGCAACATCTTGTTGTTTAGTACAATAGATAAAAGGAGGTAGTAGAGTGTATGTATGATGCTATTATCAATGGATTGAGTCCTCTTGCTCTTTATATATATTCCAAAATGTTCTGCAGCGAGTGTTTTAAGATACACGTTCCAGAACGCGAGGCTGTTTGTTAACTCTATGCAAAAGACGAATCTATATCAGTGCATGATATTGTTAACGGAGCCTAATTGGCCACGTCATGCGTGCGTGCACACACCTTATTGACATGAAAGGGAGGTGTATACACACTCAGCTTTGTGCAGTCCGACCATGACACAAAACCAGGGACGAGCCTGTCGCGCGATAGCATGAGTGGTGTTGTTGTCCATGACAACGAAAAAAAAGTCATCCACATGACCAAGACTATCCGTGTCGTTTAAGCGTTTAGGCATCCGTTGCACATGCCTTTGTCACCATGCGGGGTAATTCTTTATCTTTGGATGGTTGTACTAGATCATGTTGTATGCTGCAGGGAGGGATAATAATCCAGTCAGCTACAACTCAAAAGGAATGTTTTTTCAGCAGCATGATGTTGTTGAATATTTGCAGCCTTATACAAAAGGAGTCGATACGTACAAACTACCTTAACAATCAACCATCATTCCAACAATGAGATAATGATTGGCTTGAGCGATCAAGGTGCGTTAATAACAATGAGTGGTGGTGGTAGGTTAAAGGGAGGATAAGGGTTGTATCACAGTGATTTGCATAATTAGCTCCGATATGCAGCTTCTCCACAATCGACGTCATTGTGTTACCATTAGACATGTCCCTCCCATTTCCACACGCAAAAAAATATGCTCGCACAGACTGCAGAAACGGAAAGTGATGGCAAGACTTACCCCTTGATTCATTGCCAGTCGTCCTTTTTACCAGTATGGGTAAACAAACAATCAACCAAAAGATCTCGACCCTTGGGAGGAGGACGTATAATATTGCACAGCTACAACTTATTTTTAACGATAATGATGATGCCACCAGACACATGTCATCATTCTTCAAGTTGACAGAAGGAGTTGACCACACGTGTGTATTTGGCACATGGCCTAATACGGGATAACCTATTGAATGATGATGATAGACACTCACTATGTCTTCTTTGTTGTTAGATGGATAAGAACGATGATGCTAATATCGATCGTTGGATCCGTTGTGTATTCAACATACTATAATGAAGATCCAAAAGTTTCCATGGATGGGATTCGAAAAGCCCATTCGAAGCTACAGGGGTAGCTTACAGGCACATGCAAGTTCAGCGGAAGTGCATTGTTCACTGATTGCCCCACGTGTTGGTATTCGGATCGCTTAGGATAGCTGAAATTGAGAGGGCAAGCTACCATGTTGACGCATGGATAATATATCAAAGCGGATACTTTGGAGCGAGCCACTGCTGTGGACACATCTCGTTGTGGTGCATCGTGAACAAAGACTAGTCCTTGTGCTTCGTTTTCTTTGTTTAAGTCTATAATTAGACATTCATTGTTTTCATCCCACTTTCAAAACTTCTGGAATACAAAAGGTACATCATCACCGACAACTCGTGTACGTAGTAGTGAGATTCATTTATCAAAGAGCAACATTGTAATACAATAAGGGTGATAAAACATTTATACTAAGGTATGACTTTGAAGCTGATCATGCAAACAGGACGATTCATGCACTGAGTTTGGAAGCAAAAAGTAGTAGTGAGCGATAAGATATCATGCATGGATGGTTTACGCGTCCAATCATACGCCTGGGATCTCGTATTACTAGCACGCAGCTCAATTTCGCGACTAGGTCGTGTACCTCTTTTCGGGCCTATCTCCTTTTCGACATTGGTTGTCCTCCATGGCACAATCCACACGTTCTCCTCTGGCAGATGCAGACGCCAATGCGCATGTCCTTGACCGTAGTTTCATTCAAGAGCTTGACCAACTGAAGCAGCTATTCACCCATGGCACCGAGGCAGTAAAAGCACAAGACTTGGAGGTTGCAGCGGCGACGTTTGACAGGCTGCAGCATTGCATTCAACATGGTGTGCTGTCAACCTGCTTAGCTATGCGATCGTACACTTATCAGAAACGAGGCAGCAACAATGTCGCTTTGAAATTGTCGCAAGCACTGACACTGCGCAACGTACGTGATCCTGACGGCTATCTACTTGCAGCAAACCAGCTACTCTTGCAAGATAATCGATCTGGGGCGATGCGGATGCTGTCAACAGGTATCAAGCGTGTTCCTTGTGATCATCCTCGACACCACATCTTGGTACAACTTGGACAACAATTACAACAAGAGATTGAACAACGCAATCAAACGCTTCTTTGGTTACTTCCAGCCGAGATATTGGATGGCATCTTGCATCATTTGTTCTTGGAGGACCTTGTTATTCTCGCATCCACATGCAAATCATGGTACAAGACAGTCTATGAATGGCCCGGCACTTGGCGTTGTTTCACTGTCTCGCATAAGGATACAGCCTACAAGAGCAGTTTCCGAAAGCTGCTTGCAAAGGCACCAAAGCAGCACATTCGTCATCTCACACTCTATCAAGACATGATGGAAACACCGACCATGCTCATGTATGAAACAATCGCTGGATATCGATGGAACAACATTCAATATTTGAGTAAGTAAAAAAGGAGGGTGGAGGGGTTTAATAGGCTACCACAGGCTTATGGATTCTTTTTCTTTTTATTATAGGCATGTCGTTGTTATTGGATGAGGAAGACATGTCGGCACCTCTTGGAATTATCACCAACACAAAAAACACGCTTCAGGAGCTCAAGTTACGCAATGATATGGGGAAGGTGCTCAACCATGCCTTGAAGAGTTGTCCCAACTTGCGATCATTGACATTGGAGGACCAGATTCGATACACGGAGGAGGAATTGAATATGCCGCCGCTCGCTTTACCACCAGGGCCATTTCCATTGAAGCATTTGCGTATTAATTGCGTCTATACAACACTCAACTTGCTCGATTTGATTCGGAAATCACCCCACCTTGAGAGCTTTCATTTGACATACGACGATGAGACTTTGGAGCACTTTTTCGATGACTTGTTCAGGCTGATTTATTATGAACTTCCTGCATTACGCAAGCTACATGTGGCTCATGGATCCTGCAAGGTTTTCTCATCCTATTCTCCTTTCGGTGATGAATACGAGGCAACATCACCACATCATCCTCGTCGTCAACAGGCCACTCAGCCAGGTTTATACAACTTGGTCATGACAGGCAATCATCTTCATGCTGGCAGTGAAAAGATCGATCTCCTTATCCGAAAGAGCAAAGCGACCCTTGTGAATCTTGATTTGGATCGGCATGGCTATGTGACAGATATTTACAACACCATTGCATCAACGGGCATGACCGCTCTTCGTAAATTGGGCTGTGGACCCGCCATCGATGGCACAGCTGATTATGCATTGTTATCGAGTGTGATCAAGGCATGTCCAATGCTTCAAGACGTGTACCTTCCGCCCCTTACAGTCTCCGATGATGTGTTGGCCACCCTTGGACAATTGCAACACCTTGAAAAACTTGCACTTAGCATGGAAGGCAACCAAATTACAGCTCGAGGCATGAAACGATTCATGAAACGTACGTCATCATTGGTGTATTTGGAAGTGTTTATCTCCAAGGTGGATACCGTCAAGATGCGAGCATTGATTCAATATGTGTTGGCGTGTCCTAGCTTGCGTACATTGGATATCACCTATGATGGATGGCATGAAAAGAGTGCGGACATGACACCCTTAAGCGAGGAGATGCAACGCTCTGGACTACGCAAAGTGATCTTTTCAGGAAGACATCAATCTTTACCCATGTTGATGCCATGGGTCGCCCACCTCAAGGAATTGCGGGAGATTGTGATTGAAGAGCCGCCTTTCTTTCTTGATCAATCCGCATTGATATCAGATCAAGCAATGAAGAACTTTGTAAAGAGCTGGCCACATCTATCCGTTACCCATGTGCAAAATGTCACGAAAAGAGTGTGTCGTATCAATATCGATGGCGTCCCCACTATCAAAGAAACGGTGATTCCCGGTTTGAAATGGTTTCCTACCTTATAAATAGTTGTATTTCCCCCCTCCCCCTCCCCTTGTATATGGTAGTGGTACAATAATTAGCATGAATGATTTCATCCATGGATATGCGTGTATGTGTAAATGATAGTTCCTGGATTATCATGCAAGAAAGCGGACCGTCACGGTCATTATTACTTATGTGTGTGTGTACCAATCGGGCTTGCTTTGGCCCTTTTCTTTCCACCCACTCATGTTTAAGCAAATAACCCGGCTACGCGTCATTGGCAACTCTTGTCGAGTACGTCAGTTTTCCTCAAGTTCAATACAATGGGAAGAGTCCAAACGCAACATTCGGTCATTTCGTAAGTCGTCATAGTGCTGGTTAGTGGTTGGTGGTGGTGGTCAACGATCCTTATGTACCGATCAACAACAACAGCTTGGCTTTTGCACAACGACCCACCCCGTATTGAACAATATCCATATGCACATGCGAGTGGTCCTTTCAGTTTGCTTAATATCTTGCCAACGTTTATACAACATGCTTCGAGTGTACGGCTGGCATCAAGGACGCTATATTTGAATACGGGCTTTTCATACTTTCCCGAGCAGTTTTTACTCGGTGCAACCATGGCAACGCGACGAGCCCTTGAAGTCCTTTCACAGCATTTGACGGATCCAAGCAATGAAGCACGACGAGAAGAATTGGAACAAATGATGAATCCAATGCTATTGGCTCGACTCGAACAAGGGGCAAAGAAAGCTTTGGGATTGCATGACGAAGTCTTGTTGAGCGTACCACAAATTTACGATGCCAATTTGGGCGATATTTGGCTCACGCTTGGAAATCCACGTGCGTTCATTACACCTCGCGAATACGATGTATTTGAATGGATGACAATTCAAGTGGGTATGAAAAAGACCAATGACGCTGACGAGGAGTCCTTTGGCGACGCAAGAATGCGTGTGGCTCGTGGCCTATTGGAAGGAGCTCATGTGCGCGTGGATGTCAAGGTGGATGCAGATGTGGTTTACAAGGTCAATCGCGGGGATGATATCCTATTATATGATGAAGGCCGAAGGACGTTGCTTGTACAATTCGAGACCCCATACTTTGAACCAGCAGACAAAATGGTGTCTTCAAGAGATGAGAATGGCGAGCCTATCAATGACTGGTCATGGCGTATCTCGGATATTGATCAACTACTCACAAAGGAAAAGTTAGATGGTAGTAGTGATGAAAATGACCAAGAATAGACGTAATTATTATGTATCTACAATAACACCATCATTGCATCTCTTATCATTGTCGTTGCTTAATCATAAACTAGATGCCTCTCATTAATAATGATATCACTTGTCGTCATTGAGTCATTGTGGATGAAAGAAGGGCAAGATTGTATTGATGGGATGATCTACAATCCTTCCATTGGTCTACATAGAACTCAGCCAGAGAAGGCTGTACATGAAAAAAATGACAAGGGCTCAGTATCACAGGGTGGAGAAAAAAAAAAGAGAACGCATAGAGAGATATCCCATTTTCTTTACTTTCTTCTTACCTGCTACCACTTATTCACTTGGGAATGAGCAACGAGCCCTCGTACCAAGCCAATTTGAAGCAAGCCCTGCTGGCAGGTGCTATGGCTGGAACCGCTGTCGATACCGCCCTCTTCCCATTAGGTAATAGAGAGATCACTACTACGACGACACACAACGAAACGCGTTTCCTGTCCATTGGGTTCCTGACATTTATATACATTCAGACACGATCAAGACACGTCTTCAATCGCAGGCAGGCTTTATTGCGTCTGGAGGTTTTCGTGGTGTCTACTCTGGTCTTCTTACAGCCGTGATCGGTAGTGCTCCTAATGGTGAGTACCAAGTCGTATGGCTAATAGTTCATCCCTCACTCATTACAAAGGGTCCCTTTAGCTTCACTCTTTTTCGTCTCATATGAAGCAACCAAGCGATTACTCGGTGCAAGTGTGGACCCGAAACATTCTCATTTTGTGCATATGGCAGCTGCATCTTTTGGTGAAATTGTAAGTAATCGTGGTTGGGTGGTCTATGGACAAAGAGACTAATACAAGGTGATGATCTAGATTGCATGCACGGTCCGTGTCCCTACCGAAGTCATCAAACAACGTATGCAAACCAAACAATTCACAGCAACATCCGATGCCGTTAAGCACGTGATCAGGACCGAAGGTATCCTTGGCTTTTATCGTGGCTTCTTATCGACCGTTGCACGCGAGATTCCTTTTACTTGCATCCAATTCCCACTCTACGAATACTTTAAACGCCAATACGCCATACACAAAAATCGACGGATAGAACCTTATGAAGCGGCATTATGGGGCTCCTTGGCGGGTGGTGTCGCTGCTGCTATCACTACACCTCTCGATGTATGCAAAACAAGAATCATGTTATTGCAAAAGGTAAAAAAAAGAAGGAAATTTGCACATCATCCTTATAGAGTTGCTAACATGGGGCTATCATGATAGAAACATTTGGCACCCGAAAACATTGGCATCGTTTCAACATTCAAGCGTATCGTAGCAGAGGAAGGTCCTCGAGTATTGTTGGCAGGCATTGGACCTCGTGTGATGTGGATTTCAATTGGTGGCAGTATCTTTTTGGGTGTGTACGAGAAGGCTGTCAAGACGCTTGTTCAATTGCGCATGTTAGAAGATCGGCGATAGAAGAGATTATATATACAATAGAGATAATTGGCATATGTAAAAAAACATGATGGGTTCTTTCTTTTGCTTTTAATGAGTGCTTATGTACATTCTATGGTGTAATTTATGATGAAAGCTGTGTAAAGACGCGCTTGTTGGAAGTGTCAGGGGTAGCTGAGCTCTCATCAAAGAACTCGGCTGTATTACGAGCTTCCCAATCACGTCGTAGGTATCCAAGAGCCGCCCGATTGAATCCCATAATGTCCTTTTGTCGCTGTAATCCTTCTCTCAAGTGATATCGGATCGAGTCAAGCATCGGTCGCATAATACGGTTGGCGACAATTTGGTTGTGATTGATCTTGATCAGAGCGAAAAGTACCCGTGAAATGACAATGATATTCCAGTTCTATAAAAGAAGAACTCTTGTTAATATACACGCACCCCTTTGTGTCCATTTCTCTTTCATCTTACCTTTTTAGCCCATGATTCAATGTATGAAAGTAGAGAAAGGACCTTGGAAAATGGTAGAACAAGTAATGCTTCTTCAAGATCATTGGCCTTGATCTTTTCCACAACATTGAGAACATATCGATCCGGGGCAACATCACCCATAGCAATCAAGATGGGATTCCTTTGAGGAGGTTGTGCTGGCATACCCTTTGCCTTTGCCTATAGAGTGATACGTACAACGATTAGCAATGAAAAGGTGGCTCCATAGCAATGCCCAACTTACAGCTTCATATGCTTCCCAGCCTTGCTTTTCTTCATCTGCAAGATCCAATGCTTCTATTATCCGCTCACCGGCCTTGAGGGTTTCCATTGTTTGTTTTCCTGCTGAATCAAGTTCCATATCATTGACATCGGCCTTCTCCATTTGACTAACAAGTGTGGATTCATAGAGCTCTTCGAGTTCTTTTTCTCGCTCTTCTTCAAGGAAAAGCTATACAATATTGCCATGTGTAAGTATACCATGCCGTCATTTTGATTCCTCGACAAAAAATTACCTGTTCATCCGTCTTTTCCCAAATCCGGAGTGAGCGATCATGAGAGCCAGTGACAACAAAAGAGCCATGCTTTGCAATGGCTAAAGCCCACACTTCACCATGATGTCCTTGTAACTTCATAATATTCTCAAACTAAAATAAACGCGTTAAGTACCAAGGATCCTATCACATTCAAGTCAAACCAACATACCTTATCACCATCCCAATACTTGACCACCTTGTCTTTACTGATAGAGAAGAAGTAATGGGTGCCATGCACGAATTGAACACCAGTTACACTCTCTTGATGTGCAAAGATGGATTTGTGACAATCACCAAAGTCAAGACCCCAAATCTTAACGTTCTTATCAGCAGATCCAGTGGCAATGAGTGTGTTGTCAGACGAAATATCCATAGAGAGGACGGGAAGCTGCAAGCAAAGGGAAACGGCGTTAGCATCATTGCTAACATACAACATTGATATCCTATTACCTTGTGACCATACAATGACAAAAAGAACTTGAGTGTGTCATGATAAAAGACCTTGACGGTGGAATCGAGCAAAGAAACGGCAATCAAGTTTTGATCGGGGCTATATCGAACGCACAAGATTTCATCCGACATTTTCAGTGTACGCATATGAACAAATGTCAATCGCTTGGGTTTCTATGGCAACGTACAATTAATAAGATGCATGTGTGTATAGCTGTGGACAATGGGTAGCCTTACCACCGACTCATCGAGTTTGAAATCCCAAAACTTGACATCCTTATCAGCACCGCCAGTGACAAAACCCCGCTTGTCAGGTCGCATTTGCATGGAATACACAGCACCACTATGTCCCTTGACCGATTCAACGAGTGATGATGAGCCGAGATCGTACAACTCCAGCATACCAGCCTTGGTGCCAACCAAAATCTAATCCATCATGGGGTATATGATGAGTAATCCACATATTACCACCCACTCACAAGGTATACAACTACTTACATGGCGGTTACCAGGAAGAAAAGCGCAACAAAGTGCATATCCACATTCAATGGATCGGATACAGGATCTCGTCTTTACATTCCAAATCTTCAATAGACCTAAAATTGCCATCATCAGCATCAGATCACTCCCCTTTGTTATCATCCATCCTCCTTGACTTACCATTTGAAGCTGAAGCCAATACTTCATCATCCGAGCTCAATGCTACAGCACGAATATCCGATCGATGGCCATGCATATCAATGCTTGCTTGTCTGGAAGGTTCCAAAGTAGGATCGGCTTTCTTATCAGCAGGCAATGGGGCATTGTAGACCTCAATGACGTTATCATTCAAAGAGACCATGACCTAATTCATTGTTTAGTCCACTTGAACTCCTTTCCTCATGATCTTCATATATATATACCTGAACATGACCCTTCTTTTCATAATCGTTCTTGGGTGGGAAATCAAAGCTGCGGATTTTGGTAGGTGCGCGAACAATTATGTAGCTGTGATACAAGTCCTCTGCCAAAATGTCATCGCTGATCTCGATATCCTTTCCTTTTTCCTTTGCACGCTTTCGACGACGTTGAATCTTTTTGCGGATCTCATCATGCTCACGCACTTGATAAAGCTCGACGGTCTTGTCATTGGATTGAACGCCCACAAATTTGCCTGAAGGATGAAACTTGATACTGACAACACGATCACGTGCACTACGAGGTACGTTGCCATAGAGGGTGATACCTTTGGCGAGGGCAGGTGCACTGTTATCCTCCCCATCGACTTGCATCGTATCCAATTCTTCAATAGGCTTATCAAGGATCGACCAATCAATCTTCCATGCTTTCAATTGGGGCTCGGCACCACCAGAGATAATCACGTTTTGTTCTGGATCAACGTCAAAGGACCAAACTTCTGTGCGATGGCCGACGACTGTTTCTCGACAAAATTGACTCGATAAATCCCATAATTTCAACAAGGTGTCCTTGGAAGATGACAAGATGTATCCATCTGTTGCTGTGCTCTCATCGCGTCGTCCGCTGAGGAATTTCAAGCATGTGATTTGCTCCTTGTGGCCTTTGAGGCGGTAAAGACCCATCTCAGCAACAACATCCCATACAATGATATCCGTATCCTGGGAACCGGATGCAAGTCGTGTGCCATCTTGATCAAACGTCAATGCTGTTACGGCGCCTCGATGACCACTCAATGTAACCGTAGCTGATTCGGCTGTTGTATCTGCTGTCCACAATCGCACCATACCATCCGCATAGCTATAGAGATACATACTTAGCACACACACATACATTCAATCATCCCACTCTTAGCAATAGACTCACCCTACAGCATAATCTCGGTTGTTGGGACTCTTGGCGATACATGTCACGGCTGCTGTATTGTTGGATTCTTTCCATTGGCCAACCTAGACATAGTGTTAGTCCACGATCTGCCGATTAAAAGAGCATTGGGTGGGGAGAAGAGTACGCACCTTGGTACCCTTTTTCAGATCCCAGAGGATCACTTGTTCAAGAGCAGGAGCAATAGCCAATTTGCCGGTAGCATCGTAGATAATGTTGGAGAGTGTCGAGTTGATGACACCAAAGCTGGCAGTCGGCTCGTACCGAAGATAAGCTTTGACCATGGAGGTGTTGTTGAAAGTCGGTGCAAGATCTCGATCGCTTGTCAAGAACGGCTCACCACATTTTTTTTGTAGGCCCGAGAAAGCCACTGAGCTTGTATTAACACCCCATTATCCCGCCCATCCCATCACGTGATCCCTTTTGAAATGAAGTATCCTAACTCCCCAGCTTTATTATGCCATTGCCACTAAATCTATCACCTGGTTGATATTTCAGAGGGGGTGGTATTATTATTGTTGTTATTGGGCTTTGGGCTGTGGTCATTCTTGGTTGTGATGCTTCGAATATCACCCGTATGAGCTCGCTTGACACGCTTTTTCCTTTGTATCGCGCTTTCATAGTTGACAATGGGTACTGATAGATCAAACATGTCCGCTTCCATTGTATCATGCCGTCGAAGTAGCTGGTTTTCTGCTGACATTAATCGTTTCAAGTTTTCTTCGACAACACGTGATTGCTGGGAATTGAGCTCTCGTACACGTTGAGGATCGTCAGGTCGATGAATATACACCTATACATCATATGAATATCTATTTGCTCCATCACTATTTATATATACTTACAGGTGTTTGACGGAAAGAATGGCGACTTGGGAACTTTGGCATATGAGAAGGTGCGTATTCGGGTAATGATGTCGTTTCCTCTGTATTCTCTTCTTCCTCATCATCCGACGATAAAAAGTTGTATTTCTCCTCCGTTTGAATGCTTGACTTTTGATTAGCAAGTGGTATATGTACTAGATATCCATTCTATAATAAGCACAAGCTCTCGTTTCCATAATAAACAATGTCTATCCTTACCACGATCCTCCCTATGTTGATTGAGATAATTGCCTAGCTCTGGTAACTGCATTCCTGATTCTTCCAACGAACGTATCACGTCATGATAGTTGGGTCGTGTCCGGTTCCCAAGTTCTGCATAAAGGTGTGTTTTGGCAAGTAGATTCTCTAAATCTGGTGCATTGGATAGAGTGTCAGTCTTTGAATCGCGCATTGTGACCGGGAAGAAAAACTCACAGTCTTCCAGTGTTTCTGTCAACGTGTGTAATGCTGATCGCTGTATTGAATCGAAGCCGCAATTCTTGGCGAGGAGGGAAACGGCGTGTGAGTTGACGTGGAAAGGGAAATCTTGGTCGTCATTGTCGGTTGCCATGCTGAGAAAGAGTTGTGTAGTCCAAAAGGGAAAGAAGCCGCACACTGGAGCGGGATTATTGATCCAGGACATTCTGGCTCCGTGCTATATGATAGCTCACACATTGACTACAATGACACCCCATGTTCAATAGTTGAATAAAATGATAATGAACCACATCCATATAAAATGGCTATTGCTATGAACGTTACTACTAGATTCGGTTGCTGCTGCTGCTGATCCCGTTTGCCTGCATTGAATATATCCCTGAAGCAGATAAAGCTCCATCATCATCATGTAGTAAAATGCAGGCTACAAGGCCTTACATCCTCCCCTCCCAACATCAAAGATAAGACATTTTTCCTTCTTCCTTAATAAATGGGCCTTAGACCACTAACCAGCGTTGCTTTGTTGTACACAACATGATGATTTGTATTTCAACGTGGCGCTAATTGACGGCTGGAAATGCAGTGTTCGCTTCCATCATGCACTCCTTTCCAAGAGAGAGAACGCCATCAAAGTTAACGTAAATGAGAATGGTGTGATTCTAGCAGGTTGTGGCAAGTTCAGGGGAATAGAGTGGTGAGGTGCATGACTGTTGTTAACTTTAAGCACTTGTATGCAAAAAAGGTGGAACATGTATCGAAAGTAGAAGGATCCATTGACCCGTTTATAATTGGCAAAGGTCGACGCTTTATCGAATGCATATGTATTGCCATTGACTTGCTATGCAGAGAGCGATACCGCTATATGCAGCTTGCTGCTCCATGTTTGCGCCTTCCGACTTAGCGGTGCGTAATGGATAGTGCTGGATGCATAACGAAGACATGGATGTTTGTCGTACAGAGTCAACTTTTTTGTCATCAATGCAAATCACACATCATCATCGGTTATGGATACATCCACTTTGAGTAAAAAGCTATGTTATTGTAAAATGTGGCAGTTGTTGATGTGGTGGTGGCCTGAACGTAAATGTCAATGCACCACGGAGTTCAGTGGGTCAGGGATCAAGTTATTTTTTATACAAAGAACCATCATTTTTGCTCTCTAACCAAGGCGGCGATATATAGTAGTGTATAAAAGGACACTAATCCCTTTGCCAAGGCGCCAATAACGTTAACCCCCTTAACCAACGTTCCCACTTTTCTCGCTGTCTGCACCTATCCATATGCAGGTGGCTGAACATGAGCATCATCCCATACAAGAAACACAAAACTAAAGCATGATAAGAGGCCCATCATGGATGTCCTCGGATCTACGGCAAATGACATATCCCTTGATCATGATGGGCTTTTGCTCATATACTTTCCCCCCTCCTCAAAAGTTACATGCCAAAAGATTCGCATATAAAAACCGCCAATGGGTCATCTCCCCCCTCTTTCTTTTCTGATTACATATCATCTTTTATTCTTTATATAAGCAAGAATCTAATAATGCATATCCGATTTGTCTCTATTACTTTGGCAGCCGTACTAGCATTGTCCTCTGTGTCTGTTCAAGCAGCACCCACACCGGTTCATCAAGGTCTTCAAGTCCTAGGCAAAGCTGTTGATAGTTATGAACGCTCGTTCGTTACCTTTGAGAAAAGACATCATGGTGGCAAAGATGGCGAGGATGCTCATGATGAAGATGATGAAGAGGAAGCCGATGAAGACGAAAAAGAGGCTGACGAAGAAGAAGAAGAAGAAGATGAACGTCATCGACATCATGCACGTAGCGATCAATCATTAGCACTTACTAATGGCGAAGGCGATCAAAGTAAAGTCAACGGCGTTCAACCTAAAGCAAGAGATGTAGTCAAACGACATGGACACGGCGAAAATGAAGCTGATGAAGATGAGCCTGAAGAAAATGAGAATGAGCCTGATGAGGATGAGCCTGATGAAGACGAGAACGAGCCTGATGAAGATGAGCCTGATGAAGACGAAAACGAACCTGATGAAGAGGAACCTGACGAAGATGAGGATGAACGCCGCCATCACCGTCATGGTCATCACAGTATATAAATAATCCAATCTATTGCTACATACAAGCTATAATATGATGCATGTTGTATATTGGCCAATGTGCCACGAGTAGTTTTGATCATCTCTGACATCCAATAAAAACCTCACTCTCACTGATTTACTACACAATTGTCCTAACCAGAATGGCTAAAGGCTAATACAGTAGCGCCTGCATCATCATGAACCCTTCTCCTCTGTATCAAAAAGGCAAGCAGAAAGCCTGCATCCTTGTACCTCGTGTTAAAGGATCCTCATCCTTCTTTCCTTTCCATTCATAATACATCATCCCTTCCTCTTGACCATCGAAGCTTCCATGACAGCGATAGCGATGATGGGTGTAATGCAATGCGTGGCTCTTGATCCTCCTTGCATATCCCAAGCGTCTGACATATGAATTCTAAAAAGTAATGTGATATAGTTTAATGTCATTTGCTGAACCATGTGCCTTGTTGAATAATGTTCATAGGCTGCATGGGGAAAAAGGAGGTGACATTCAAAGTCAAAGATGGATTTTTGGTTTACTGCTGGCACTCTGTTGAATACTTTTAAGAAGGGCTGATATATATTGACATGGATATTTAATGGAATCGTATCATGATGGATAGTACAAAACTACTATTGTGCCAAAAAAAAAACATCTATGTGTCGTGGACCTTGTGGGCAGAATGACTCCAAGAGTAAGGGGGGGATGGTGTAAGGATTTGCGGATACCCAGGAACAGCAGCAACAAGGTTTACACCATTCGAAATGGATACTTGGAAAATGGTCTTCGAATTCAGAGAATATTGGTATCAACCGATCAGCAAAGTAAAAAGGTGCGCTCATGATTGGAGTGTGCCTACGCATTTTGATGCATCATACAAAAGGTCATTCATTGCTTGTTGTGGTGATCAGGTACCGCATTCGGATGTGCTTGTTATAGATGGAAGTTCAAATTAGATTTATCGTTCTTTGTCCCATTTCCCATACAAAGGTACACGAATGCCTTACCGAGTTCCTCCCCCAGATGCTTCTTTGTTATCCCTTGTTAGAAATTTCCAGATTTACAGCAGTATGGCGCTTGACGATTCTGCGAACCCTGTGCTCTTGACTAGTAGTGCGGTGTTGGTATCCAAGGAGATGAACATAAAGCCATCGAAATTGTAGCCCGAGGTTGGTTGTTGGTTCATATAACCACTTGAAACGGTGTATTTTCTTCTTCCGTGTGATGACAGATGTTGGATGCCGAAATGCGTCTCAAGTATGGGTGGGCTTCAAGAACGATATGCATGCTTGATAATCTTCAATGTATCGTTGGGGATGTCTTGTGATAGCATAGCGTCGCTTTTGTTGAAATGCTGCTGCATGAAACCAAATGTCCAATGAGCCCTTCTCAGTATCATTCCTCTTGAGGATATTGTTGCTCTTCATCCACTCAGCATCATTGCCAACAGCAGCAGTCGTCAACTTCCTCGCCCTTTTGAAATCCATGAAACATCATCTTGACCAATCGATGTCAGACGTGGACCTTGATCGTTGATTCTAAATGATATACACATCTTCAAATGAATAAACTTATACCTGCATTCCTTTTTAATGACATACCAAAGAGTTCACGACTTGCTTCTTGCTAATTTCCTTGTCAACATGGGCGCCACTGCTCAAGTTATCCCACTTGTCGGGTACCATCATGATCCAAAGGTGATCTTGCTCAATGACATCCCTTTTGCCCATCACTGTATTGAAATCGAAGATGCCTGGTGTCACCCAAAGCTATGTAACCGTTGCCTGTTGCTTGTTGCTGACATAAACCGCTTATCAGAGACTTTTGCCGAATATCCAGAACCACCAGACGATCGAATCAAATAATGATGTTGCTGCTTGTTGATGACATGATCCACCCATAAGAGCCGTGCAATGCAGGATGTCCACAAAAAGAATTGCCGATAACGAGAACCACCCGATGACGTGATAAAGCTCAATGGCACCAATGATGAAATGGATGCTGTACCTTGTTGTTGATATGACCCACTTGTGAGAAACGTGCGTTGCAGGATGCTCTTCATAGGAAAATGCCTGATGCTTGATAACAGGAACCACCAAAAAAGCGAATAAGTGTTGGTGACATGAAAAAGACGTTCCTGGCTGTTGACATCATTTACCTATCCATAATACGACACTTTGCAATGATAGCTGCAACCTCGAAAACTTCAAAGGACCAAAGAGCAGTAGCCCACATGCTATGATGAAAGAGGATGTTGGTATATGATTTACAAAAGGATGGAGCATTACTTACCAGTGATAGACATATGCCATAAAATCAAGTAACCTTGGTGTCACCAAAGACAGCATACTTGCTAAACGATGCGGAGACACCTGAAAGCCAAAGCCATACGCAAATCGGATATCCCTGATGCCATCCAAATGACCAAACTAGCTTCCTTGCTGCAGAGGAATCCATAAAAGATAATGTTGGCAGTCGCTTTGCAAAGAAATGGAACATTGCTTGATAACCAAAGCCTTGTAGATGTCGAAAAACGTTGATGCCACAGCAAGGTATGAACGCTGTTGGCTGCTGTTGATACACTACGATACACCCGAAGAGACGAGAGATGGCTGATATCCATCAAACATGTTCCCAATAACGCGAACCACCAGATGATAGCATAAAACTCGCTGACATTGAAAGACATAGACGTTGTTGCTCGATGCTCGTATTGATCCACCCTTAAGCAATGTACGCCGATAAATAATCTTCAAAGGAATTGCCAGGAAAGGCGAACAAGAACATTGACGTGCTGTGTGATAACATAATATAGCCGAGCAAGAGCCTACCACTATACTTCTTTCGTAAGTGTACTTGAATGAGACAAATCACAGCATGAACGCTTTACCTTGAGGTATCCTTCAATAGCATTCCTTGCTTCCAATATGGCATCGCTCTCTCACATCCATCGTGTGCTGCTGTAGCTGCTGCTGCTTCATTGTAAGACTCGTTAATCAATCAGCAGGTAGTCCTTTGTATATCCAAATGCCAAGCGTACCCAATGAAACAGTATCCAGTATTCTTCCTTTGAGATCCATATCCTGCCACTGCTCACAGGTACCATAATAATCCAACATGGCCGACCTGGAATAAACGCAAAGTAAGATAACAAGTATTGCATCCGCTCTTCTTGTCAGCATACCCAAAAGTGGCAACATAAAGACGTGTTCATTGTGTGACAGCCATGGAAAGAATACACACGACATCCCTTTGGAACTTGCATAAACGAAAGAATCGCAACCTACACGCGAACGTTAGTACCACAATGTTCACCTTGAAATGCAGCGATTGGACGTACACGTTGAATTGCGAATGGAAGCTGGAGTCATTGCGCGTACTTGTTCAGAGCTTGTAACTGGAGAGCGTCGCCATGGTCACCCATTGATGTTGAGTAAAACAAAGGGAGTTCAAGTTGCCTTTCTTTGTGAAGGGGAAGCGGAGAAGATGTGGCCCTTTGTCTTTCTGAAGGTGAAAGGGTAAGTCAATTGAATATCCTGAAAGCGAGTCCTTTGAAATAAAACATACTCAAAAGGCCAATCGGCACAGAATAAAATCCACAAGGGAATGAGATAATATGGTCGCTACAATTCAGTATAGTTCAAAGTGTTTTTATTTGAATAAGGATACTGCTGCCGACGCAGGTGCCAGGCGCGATTTAGCAAGGGCGATCCTGTGAAGCTTGGTGATTGTGTAACAAATGAGATGTGTAACGAAAAGACAATAAAATGATGGGTGTAACTGGCTCATGCAATAAGGGGAAGGGTGTGGGTGATGGTCTTTGATGAACAGTGATTGTGATACGCTGTGACTTTATCCTTTGAAATGTAACGGCTTTATTGATAGGATTCTGATAAGAATACGTTTTGATAGTTATATGATAAAGATATGGAAACTCACTTATTGTGTAGAGAGTGTGTGTGTTTTACGTGTTCGTGTGAAAGAGGTGAGGTAAAGAGAAGGTGAGTACAAAGTTAATAAAAGGGTGATTTGTGTAAATGGGGTCTCTAGCAATAACCGTTAAAACGTTTACAACTGAAACACGTAAAAGAGATTGATCAGAGGTATAGAAAACAGAAAGCTGTACAAAGAGCTAAGGATGAGAAACAATGATAATAGGGCACAAGGGTTGCACATGTAACTTACAGATAAGAGACTTGAAAACGTAAAGGAAATGATCCCAAAGACAATAGGGAACAGAAGCGAAAAGAGGGGTGAAACAACAATGGGTAACAAAGGGGATTAAATACAAAAAGCGTCATGCATACAAGCTATCGAAACAACGAGAGGGGCAAAAACTACAACCGGATCACCGTAAAGTCACATGATATGAATCTTTGCAAACTCCTTCAATTGTGCCAGCAAATCACTATTGAGTGGTCTGTGCAGCAATTTCAAACTCAAAAGTCTTCTTCAGGATGTGTTAAAACATCAATGTTTCGCAATGTGTTGAGTAGTGCTGGCCATGTACGACGCCAATGACCCTTGAGATCGCCTGTGGAACGTGGCAACACGTTCATGATGAAATCCAAAAGATGCGTGTCGTCAGGTTTTGTAGCTAAGAGTTGTTGGCCGAGGCTCTCATGCAAGTATTGAATCATTGGTTCGATACGCGGGCATCCATCCAAGTCGTAATGATCACGGTGTGCAGCTTGATGACCACATCTACAATTACCCAATGGATAAGATGGCAACCAATGGGTGCGCCATTTGATGAGACGATGACGTTGTAGAGAGGTGGCAGGTAAGTAGAGAATCGGATCCCATATCCGCTCCGGTCGTGCACGAGCCACCGCCTTAAAGTCGGTACGACGTTGTTGCATCTCTTGAGTGCTACGAGCATCAATGGTAAATTTCATTGGATGACGTGGTAATAGCATACAATGCAGTATAATGTCATACCTCTGCCAATAGCCTGTGCGTCATAATAAACGGAACGTAATTATTGTTGCTTACAATGCTTGCTGGCCTTCGCCTTGGCCTTGGCCTTCCCTTTGCCCTTGCCAACATACTCCTCTTTATCATCACTGCATGACAGCTGGTGCTGCTATTAGAGCTGTATGTTCAGGTCAATAAAACATTCAACAAGACAACTATAAGAGTCATACCTTGTTGCAATGCACCTCTTCTTTGCGAGGGATGGCAAAAGCTATGTGATTAACACACGCTTTTTCCATCCCCTTACGCCTCAGCATATTCAATGGCTCCATCAACGAAGAGAAAGTGGTGAAAAGCGGCGATAGTATTGTAGAGATCCAATGAAGCGTGATAGTTCTTCCTTGTCTTGCGGTATGGGCCAATTGATAATCTTCGCCACCTTCTCATCATCTATGAGGCATGGTCTTGCGTTGTCGGCCCCACTTGCCCTTTGGTGTCACTTTTGGCCCCGGTGTATGCATTCCAAAGATGAGCTTATCCCACAATGTAAGCCCTTGTGGTCCCTAAAGCGACCTAAGTCAGCTTTAGTGGAAAGGCCAAAGGTCTGAGCTACTGAGTGAAATCCTTGTTGGTACACTGCTTCGTGCCCAATCACGCCACGATTCAGAGTTGTACCTCGAAGGGGCCAGTGCGAAAATTGGGAATCTTCTTGAGTTCCATTAGATTCTCAAAGCCATCATCTTGAAACTTGAACTTCAGGTTTTTGGCGATAGTAAACTTGTGGTTCACCAAAGTAAATAGGCCAAGTTTACCATTGACAGGGATGGTTGAGCTTGGAAAATTTGTCAAAGTTCACATGGTCCACAGCTTTGGTATCATCATCAGGAACCGGAGACTCTGTACGCTCCATAAGGCGAGCACGCATTTGTGCTAAAGAATGAATAATAATAAGTACTCAATGATTGAATGATCAAATTACATACCTGGAGCAGCATTGTATGGGATCAAAGGGCGCTGCGTATTGAAGGAGGCAATCACACGGTGAACAAGATCAAAGTTGTTACCTATGGAATGATAAGCCATTGCATAAAACATTGCTAAGCATAATACCATCGTACCGTGATAATCAGCCATTTGAGACCAAAAGGAAATAACTCATCAATGGCTAAGAATAGCCAATTAATAACATGTACATAAATGACCAATGAAAATGACATACCTATGTTGTCGGCTAACACATCACCAGCAACAGCAAAAGACAAACCATGGTTGGCATCTCGCTTCTCTTGCGTGGGTTGAATAAAAAGGCGTGTATCCATGTATTCGATTGAACGCCCAAACACCCTTGAAGAGTGTGGATGGTATGTGTGATAGTAGGAGACGTGACATGAGTAAGTGATACTCGATGTAGGAAAGACTTGGTCTCGAGAAGAACCAGGAAACAAAGATTGGATAGTGACCAAGGACACAACCATACACGAGCTGAGTCTGGATGATGGGTACACGTGATTATTCATGGACACGACAGCCCTTGTAGTTCAGGTCTCCATGCTGGTCCAGTCTTGGTTGTCAATTGTAAAATCCCTTTTCCATTCTGGGGACGTGAAGTGAGCACCATTGTCGGAGATGATAGCCTTCAGGGGGCACGCACATCCATTTGTGTATAAAGTAAGCCGTCTTGCCGACCATTGACATGGCAACCACCAGCCCGAAAAATGTGTCAATCCCAATGATGACAAAAAAATCGCATCCATACATAGACTTGGCCATAGAAAAGAAGTCGATCATGATTCTCGAGAATGCACCGTCTTGAGCTATTGGCACGGAAGAATGCTTGAGGTTGACGCCTTTGCACCAAAATGTTGGCATACTTCACAAGACAACGCGTAACGCTTGGCGTCTTCGAACATCTTAGGCCGGCAACAGTAGCGACTGATCTTGTCGATTGTGCTCTTGACTCCTGTATGTCGCGGCAAAATGAAGGAAGGCAAGAAGTGTTGTAGTAGGGTGACAAGAAGGCTGTGTACATGCGATGCAATTGCCATTCAGTCAAAGACCTTCACATCAAGACAGCAGTAGGATTGACATGATGAGTTCAACTAGAGCAATCGTTCGCACGCGGTGGCTGTACCTGAATGGGCCAACAGCTGAGCTGAACTGGTATTTCTTTGTCCAGCATTACTCAGTCAAATCCTCTCGGATCAATAAAGTTGAAGGATGGGTATGAAGGGCTGGAGCAGGACAATCGTTTACATGCATTGGATTGGGCAACAAAGGTGGTTGGGAGGAATGGACTATCAATCAGCAGTTTATGGAGTAACCATTAGATTGGTTTTTCTGCTTTTGGATGATATTTCTTTGTTTGATGAGCGTTGTTCAGTCAAATCCACTCGGTTCAAGAAAGTTGAATGATGGAAATGAAGGGTTGGATGAGTAGCATCATTCCCAAATGGTGGGATGGATAAAAGTTGAGAGTGGGAGGACCGGGCTGATAGCTGTCAATTATGAGCCGTTACTAAATAGTGTATAAACGTAACGTATCATGCATTGATCCTTCCAATCCCGCAAAAAATCGGCTGCGTTACACAAACACGCCCCTCTGCATCTTTGGCTCTCTAGTCATACTACTTGACAATGAACAAAGAGTTCCCTTTCATATAGCATCACGCTTACAGCATATGTAAAACATAAAGACAGCCATATCTCAAAACTTTACAATGAAGTGTGGGGTCTTTAAGAGAACAAGCTGCTCGGCTGAGTCAAAGCGATCTTGTGTCAAAGTATGAAGTCCATCGTGGCCAATCCCAGATTTCGCAATGTCGCCACCAGCCAAACCTGATCTGGGGGTCGACCTCCTCGACGACGACGACCAAAAAATATTTTTTGGGCTAGTTGCGACATTGAACGTGAAACTTTCACACAAGGTGCTGTTGTCCAAGCCGAGCCCATTGCTCTATTCAAAACCTCACGTTTGATTGTAAAGTTTGGAGATACAGGCACCTTTATGTTTGTAAGCGTGATGCTATATGAGAAGTGGTCTTTGTTCATTGCCAAGTAGCTAGACCCTGACAGAGCAAAAGATGCAGAGGGTCGTGTTGTGTAACACAGCTACGTTTGCATGAATGAAAGGGGCAATGTATAATTACTTTATGGATCATCTAGGAACAGGCATGTATTGCTAGCTAACGGCCACTTTTATCCATTCATCATTGTTGCGAGATCCACTGCATGGGAACGATGCCCCTGCTCTAGA